CAATCTGCGCGAATGGAGAGCGCAGAGAGATGAGACCTCAGCAGCGGCAAAAAGGACTAAGGTAATCACCACGACGGGAGGACGATGTGTACTTGGGGGGGCAGTCCTAGCGAACGCATGTTTTAGCTCTAGAATATTCTGGAGACCTCTGCGCAAGTGTAGATTAAACCCATTAGTGTGAATTCACAGATGACCACTCGGACAACCAGAGTTACAGGTAGGTACCCTCTCTATTTTATGGAGGAGTTGACTCACCAAATCCCTACTGATTCATTGGCTCTGCTCCAGTACAATCTGCTATGCTAAGCAACAGGATTTTATGCAGCGTCACACACATTTCTAATCAGTGCATCAGACTTTTTGTTTTTAATCTTTCAAATTTTTTGTATTAAATGTCTTGGCACGGACATTCAGGTCATATTTGATTTGATTTTTGAGTATGAGCTTCTAGATTTTTGCATGACTGGAAAAAGTATCAAAAAAAAGTACGCATGCAGAATCCTTAAAGTAAGTGAGATTTTTGTGTTATACAACTTAGTCTTAACATAATCATGTTGAGGCTACTTTTCACTTTTGGAAAAGTAGTGGATCCACTTTTGGACCCAGTTTCATACCTTTTTTTAAATGAAGCTTTATTCAAGAATTGATTTCTGTTTCCTATTTTTAGTTGACTGCTTGTTTCTATGAATGGATTGTTATTCAGTGTTTAGCCTTGGAGCAGTACAGTACAGTCTTTTTAATCTGCTTTGCATCTGAGTAGTCTTTCTGTTGGAGACTAAACAGGTAAGTAAGTTACGTTCTGCTGAAAGACTCATAGATGTCTTTCTTACTGTCAGGTTTCAGTTAGTGATATGGATGACAACACCACTTCAGATTTGATAGGGGAGTTCACATGCATCGCTGCAAAGCTACTGGAAGCAAGAGATCAAGTGGTGAGCAGCAGTAACTTTCCTTTATGAAGTCCCTCTTGTCCATTGCCTATTGTTTCTTTCCTTTCAGGTCCAGTGTAATGATTATGATAGTGATGGGTCACATGATTTGATAGGCACTTTTGAAACTAATCTCTCCCAACTACAGAATGCAAGTGGCAGCTCTCCGGTGAGCTTTTACATTCTTTCTTGATTTAAATTAAGACAGTGGCTAACTACAAAGAAGAGTCATAGAAATGCTGTACTTATTGCTTTTCCTAAAGCTATTTGTGGATTTGTCTGTTGATGCATGCGTGCAATCAACCAAACTTCAGTTCTATACCTGGAAATTTCCCAGATATTTTGAGTATAGCAGCTACTTTTAAAGATAATAAGAAGTGCTCTAATTCCATTTAGATGTGCTAGAAACGCTCTTCTGCTGAAATCTGCCATGAGGGTAGTATCTTAGATTCCTAAAATGCTTGGTCTGGGAGACCAAGAAGAGAAAACAAAAACTGTATGAGCCACATGGCTAGATTGGTCCTGATTGTTACAGAAGTAAAATGTCTCGGACTGGATGAAAATAGGTTGTTCTGTACAGTAGAGGTCAAAACCTTTGAGGAGTGGAGCCAGTATAGCATGGTGGTCAAGTAATATGTTAAGGCAAATTTTAATCTCCTCCAAGAGTAATCCTTGATTTTTTTTACCTATCACTTTTTTCCACCATAAGATTTTTTTTCCTAATTCCACAGCAGTATTCTCTCTCCTCTGATCTCTGTCAGAGGATTTACTAGTTTAAGAGGATGTAAATTTAGTGCTGAGACTTGATTGAATGCCATGGAGTTATAATGATAGTGTTCCTTTTTGGGATGTTTTTGCTATGGGATAACACAAAAATACTATTTCGATATCTCAAGACATTCATTGAAGAGTTAGAAATGCCTCCTGTACCAAAGAGCACTGTAAAATTGTTATATTCACTGTATAGCTTTGGACATGTGAACAACAGAGGTCAATTTGCTTTTTCCAAATTGTTAGGCATGTAAAGTGAGTTGTTTTAAGCTGAACCCACATATCTTGAATGATTAATGCTAAAATTGGATGAGTCTACAAATTAATCTCTTTGTTAGTCATTGGATGGAGAAATAAAGATATTTTATATTTTCAGAACTTTAATTCATTATTAAAGGTTACGGTTATATTGGATGCATCTTTGATTTAGTGGTATATGAAGTGATGCCATTATACGACAAAGTCAGTCCTGTGTTGCAACTTATACCTTTTGTTGCCCTGAAAAAATATAGTATGTACAGCCCATGTTAAATATTTTACAATGAAGTCAGTCCTTTTGTAATTTATGCTTTTGGTTTCCCTGAGATAATGTTTTAGGTATCTTCAGTATTTAGAGGTTCCTAATTTACACTATGCCAATGTCTATATGTGTGTGTGTATAATAATAAAACAAAGAAATTTTTAACATGCCTTATTAGAATTGGCTACTAGAAGACAGTAGGGACCATGCTATGTATTCTTCACTAACCAGTCCTTTTGTAATTTATGCTTTTGGTTTCCCTGAGATAATGTTTTAGGTATCTTCAGTATTTAGAGGTTCCTAATTTACACTATGCCAATGTCTATATGTGTGTGTGTATAATAATAAAACAAAGAAATTTTTAACATGCCTTATTAGAATTGGCTACTAGAAGACAGTAGGGACCATGCTATGTATTCTTCACTAACAAGTATTCGTTAGTATGGTCTGGCACTATCTGGTGGACTATTACGGTGATACATTTTTTAAAATTTTTTTGGATCTTTTCTTTTAATATTTTTGATGTTTTCAGTCCATTGATAAATTAAACCACAGATATTGATCCGGCAGATACAGGGTGCTACTGTATATTATTTTCTGTTGTGCAATGTAATCTGTTAGCATTCACCATATATAGCAAATCCTGGCATGGCAACATCCACTGTCTGTTTTCTTTTCTGTTTCATTTCTGCATTTGACTGTATGCCTGCAAGGTGCCGTACCTTGAATTTCACTTTATTTCACCTCCTGACCCCATCTGTTTTCTTTGGATTCCTTGTTGGAAACTATCCTTTGACTTCTGCTGTCTTCTTTCTTCCCTCTCCCACTGCCAGTATTTTATTGGCACACTTGGTGATGTAAAGCATGCTAGTTTACAGTGCTTGTCATAAGGCTCATAAAAGTGACTTTTGGATATGGGAGGATGGTGGTGAATTGGGTCAGGAAGAGTCAGACACGACTTAACGACTAAACAACAACAACAACAAAAATAAAGGATAGGGATTGTAAAGTTAGCTGTTGTAACTTGGGGGTGTCCATGCAGATGGCAAAATTGTCACCATCAAGATTCCTGCTAAGCTCGGCGCATGCACGCGCATGACTCCTCTCCATGCAGCTGTCTTCCTTCTCCATGCAGCGATCACGTTAGGTTCCGGTTGCAACAGAATCCTGCTTGGGGGGGGCGAATTCGTGCGCACATGTAGGGGTGAAGCCATGCATGCAAGGGCAGAGTGGGGCTGAAAATCAGAGGGTACGTTGGTCACAATCCTTTTTTATCCATGTTACCACCATGTACTGTTTGGTTTTTTTCAAGTAAAATTGTTGCTTATTGAAAATGATATACCTGTGCCATTTTAAAGTTTAAATTCTAGATTTCATTGGCAAGGTAACCTTTTTTGCTATGTTCCTTTCCTGTAGGTGGAATTTGAGTGTATTCACCCTGAAAAGAAGAGAAAAAAGAAAAGTTACAAAAATTCTGGAATTGTTAGAGTCAAATCCTGCAAGGTAAAAAGTATTTCAGGCCGGATGGTTCACTTTTTTGTTATTCTAAGAATAGAAGTTATATCCATTCTTGCTTTTTTTTCCAGATTGAAAGAGAGTATTCTTTTTTGGATTATATCATGGGAGGCTGCCAGATTAATTTCACAGTGAGTTGTCACCTTTCACAAGCCTCCTATTTATAAATGAAACATAATCCTCTGCTATTTATATGTTTCTGTGAAAAATCCATTGCCCTTTACATTGATCAAAAGCTAATTTATTGGCAGAGGCAAGGGCTAAATCTTGTAGATCCTCTACACCTTTGAGTCCAAGACAGTGCAGTTTGTGACTATGCTGACCATGAGTTTCTAGGAGTTGTAGTCAAAAAGGCCTAACTTTTTCAAGCTCTGATAATCTGTTTTTCATGGTCGCAGTTTGCTAGCAAAGAGAAGGGAAACTGCATTTGACCTGTGTTCAGCTGTGATGCTGAAAATCCTTGTCCTGATCTACACTTTAGTGATCCAGAACGGTTGGGTAACTCAGTGGATTAGGGTCCCTTGTTGGGAGAAATGGAGCGTATAAATAAAACTAATAATAATAATTTAGGTCTCTGGCTGCGGAGCCAGACATTGGGAGTTTGATTCCCCACTGTGCCTCCTTGATAGGCGTTGGACTCAGTGACACACAGGGTTCCTTCCAACTCTGCAATTTTAAGATGATGATGATTATGATGATTGGGTGGTTATTTCAGCAGTTATCTGTTCTGCTGTTGGATATGCTTGAAACCAGTTGCCATAAATACTGGTTTTTCTTTGATCCAAATCTGTGAAAAGACATTTTCTTTACTGATTTTTATTCTTTATTTTTTTTTTTGTCAGGTGGGCATAGATTTCACTGGCTCCAATGGTGATCCAAAGTCACCAGATTCTCTTCACTATATAAGCCCGAATGGGATAAATGAGTATCTCAGTGCCATCTGGACTGTGGGGAATGTGATTCAGGATTATGACACGTTTGTTATACTATCTTTATTTATTTATTTATTTTATTTATTTATTTATTCAATTTATATGCCGCCCAAAGTATCTCAGTGCCATCTGGACTGTGGGGAATGTGATTCAGGATTATGACACGTATGTTATACTATCTTTAGCCAGTCTAGCTACAGTAGATGTGAAATTGTCAGTAGTTAGAAGTCATATCTTCTCCTAAGTGCTGCAGTAGATGTGAAATTGTAAGTAGTTAGAAGTCATATCTTCTCCTAAGTAGCTCCCGCCTCCGCCCATAAACTTGTGGAGCATGTCAAGCAGATGTGCTGCAAAAGAGTCCCAGTAAATCCTCACTTTTAAAGTTGCAAGTATGGAGCAGAAACAAATGTATAAAAATATGCAGGGCGTGGAGAGACGATAAACAGGAAGAATTCAAGGCACACATTAAGGGAAATGTATATCTTCTGCTATTTTGGTGCTTTCCTTCCACTTCTGCCAAAGCTAATGCCTGAACAATCAGACCTGCAAATAAATCTCCTGTTTTCCTCTCATTGACCAGTTAGTCACAAAACAAAAGCAAGATACTTTACAACATGCGGAGATGGTGTATGGTGTATGTTTGTGTTAGAGTAAACAGATACCTTTTATCTATTAGCAGAGCATCACTTTGAACAACTCGCTAAGTGTGACCTTAGTTTGACCTTGAAAATATTATCGCTAAGGAGGCAATGTAATGCACTTGCCTCTATGCTGTTGTGATTTTTATTGATTATGCATAAGCATAATTGACTGTATTCCTTTCCTAAAAAATAGCATCTGATGAGTTTCAGAAAGTACAGAAATTAGAAACTTGGAGTGAAAATCAGTGACAGTGAATATTAGAATGCTATTTCTGCCTTGAATTGAAGGAGAAGGCGAAATGCATTGCTGGCTTCCAGAACCCAGCCTCCCTGGATCTTATGGTTCAGTCCATTTGATATTAAAATTTGGTTTCTTTGGCAGTATATGTAACATGAAGGTCTGTTGCTACTCCCAGACTTTGGAACTCCATGCCACAGGAGGCTAGACTGGCCCCATCTTTGCTGTCCTTCCACAAGCAGGCAAAGACCTTGAGTGACTGGCTGCCTAAATGGGTTTTTTTAAATGGATTGTTATACCACCTTCTTTGAATGTGTTTTGATGTTCCTTAAGGTTTTTTTGCATAGTATTTGTTTGATCCTTTATAGTATTTTTGTACTCACTGTTAGTTTTAATGATGTAAGCCGCCTTGGGTTGTTTTAAGGAGCAAGGTGGGCTTAAATGTTTTAAAGAAATAAATAATTTTTGTTTAGCTTGCAGTGAACATGAAAACAACATGTCAATTTTTGTGTTTTGTTTCATCTTTCAGTGATAAACTGTTTCCTGCCTTCGGGTTTGGAGCCCAGGTTCCTCCAGATTGGCAGGTAGGTGGTCTTAGTTAGAGAATTGTTGTGAACATTTGACTTCTTTTGGCTAGTTACTTAGTTTGTCTATCTTTGCAGGTCTCACATGAATTTGCATTGAACTTTAACCCCACCAATCCCTACTGCCAAGGTGAGCATTTGTTTTTTTCTTCATGACCCACATATAGTGTAGCTTGTAAGGAAGAGGATAAAAGGGTATTTTTCTGTTAAAAATTAAAACAAGAACAGCATTGCTTTCTGAGGGTTTTGTCAAGTTAAAGTAGATGAATGATACGATCTCTGTTGACCATAAGTCTTAGCTGCCTGTAGCGTTCGAATTGTGCAACAAGGGTTGCAAGAAGGCATGGAATTGAAGCATATTAGTTAAGGTGTTAATGGGAGATCTGTAAGATCTGAAAAGAAGCCAGAGTATGGTATGGGTAAGAGAACAAAGAGAAACAGCTGTTAAGAAAGCCCGGAATTCATCCTGACTGACATGGAAGTGAAGTTAAAGATCTTAGATAAAAACAGGAGAAGAACCATGTTGGATCAGACCAAAAGCATTTCTAGTCCTATGTTTGCACAGTGGCTAGTTTATTGCTTGTGGGGAGTCTGATAGCAGGACATGAGAGCTACTATATTTTTAATTCAGTCTTTTATGTATGGAAGCAGATTGCCTTTGATACGAAGTGATACATAGCCATCCTGAGCAGTAGCCACCGATGGCTCTATCCTCTATAAATATATTCAGATATATTGTCTTTTATTGGTGTTGGATCTTCCACCATTCCACTTCAGTTGATATTCTTTTATTGACATCTTGTCTAATATGCTTTCATTTATCCCAAGTTTCCCTCAGTTCAGGTTCAGTAGATGACATGAGGATCTAGTATTTAAAAAAAAAAAACGAGAAAAAGTCTTCCCGTTTGTTTTTTCCATAATTTTGTACATTTATTTCTGCTTCATACTTGCAACCTTATAAGGAGTAATTTCTTCAGATTCTTCTGTACCACATCTTTTTGGATCACATAAGGTGCATAATAATTAAGAGTTTCCATTAGCTGTAAAATACGGTTTCTAAAAAGTAGGACAAAAAGTGCCACACAGGCTGCAACTTCTACTAAGCTGAATGAACATTTTCCAAAATGTTCAGCAAAAATAAAATAAAATAATTATTTGAAGAGCTGTGGAAAAGTTTCCCTAAAAACTGTCCCAGGAATGAAAATGTGCTTCTGAGTTGGTAGGGCAGGCAACAGATATGCCTCTTCCAACTTCCTTTATCCTGTAAATGGAGTTCTGAAATAGAAGGGAGGCTATATTTCAGCAGGGTGCATTTGATTTAAATCATGATTTAAATCAGTAATCGGTAAAACCTGACTTAAATCATGATATTTAAATGTAAAGACTCATTCTTGCTGGTCATTATAGTCTTTCAATATTTGCAACCAGATGAAGATGTCATATTTTGAATAATAAATAACCGGTCAGATTAGTAAAACAGCTATATCATAACTAATTCTTGTTTAATAGATTAATCACTCATATTTGGAGAACTACTTAAATAACATTGTATAGCATTGTATTTACTTAAACATCAATATTTATTAACTGAGGTGGTTAAACAAAATATCTTTCAAAAAATCAAACTATCTTCCAAACAAGAATCAAACCTAGCATTTAAGGTACAGTAGGAACCCCACTATCCACAGGATCAGAATCTACTGATTCACTTATCCGTTGCCTGAAGATACTAAATATGCCTCACACTGAAATATGTATTTATATGTATTTCCAAGGTGTATTTACCAGAACTGGCCACTAGACAGTTCCAGAAACTATGCAATGTATAGCGTTTGCCATATCCATGTTTTTTGACATCCATGGGGAGGCTTGGAACTAATCCCTCCCAGCTACAATGGTGCCTTGACTTATGAACTTAATTGGTTCCAGAACTCCAGTATTAACTTGAAATGGTCGTAAGTCGAAGAACCATTTCCCATAGGAATGCACTGAAATGCAATTAATCCATTCCAGCCAAAGAAAAGTATCACCAAATAAACCAATACAAAGACACTGCAAGACCCATTGGAAACAGGATTAATCTGAAGAGGGAGGGGAAGAAAAGCAAGTAAAGCATGCAAGACCCATCGGATATGCAAAAAAGTAAAGCAAAAAGCAACCAAACCCTGCAAGACCCATCGGAAATGGGGGGGGAAACAAAAAGCAAACAACCCCCCCGAAACCCATCAGAAATGGGAGGAAAACCCAAGAAGCAAACAAACTCCCCAAGACCCATTGGAAATGGGGGGGAAACCCAAAAAGCAAACAACCCCCCCAAGACCCATCGGAAATGGGGAAAAAACACAAACAAACAAACCACGCAAGACTTATCACAGCATAGAAACATAATCCCACCACCAAACCCAAAACCACGATGCAAAACCCATCCAGAACAGTTCTTAAAAAAGCAGAAAGCAGCACTTTACCTTACCATGCAGTCCGAAGCCTCCTCTGATCATGCCCACTCTAACTGTTGGGGCACAAGAGCTACAAAGAAGCAGTCTCTTCACCTACCAATGGTTAGCAATTTGAATTCCCTGCCTTTTTTCCCTGCCTTTTTCTGTTCGTAACTGGAAGCTCTGGCCGCAAGTTGCAGCAAAATTTTTGCGCCCGGAGCTGATCGTAACTCAAAATGGTCATAAATTGGGACGTTCGTAAATCGAGGCACCGCTGTACCACGCCGTGTTCATTGTTTGTACATAGATCTGCAGAACAGCAATGGGATCAAGGTCTTTTCCTGAATTTTGTTTATTTTAGACCAATTTTACTGTAAAAAGTGCATTGTTATCTCAGTTTGGATAACATAGATTAATTGAGTTAGTTTACAAAAAATGTAAATATTATATGTACAAAAATGTAAATATTGTATGAATATACAGCCTCTTGCTGCATAAGCTTTATTTCATACCGAACAACCTTTTAACGATAACTTATCTTAAATAGAAAACTAGATTTAGATAGGTTTTTTCTTTCAAAAAGATTTCATTAAAATGGATCCTATTTAAAATTTAAAAATCTGATTTTAATTTTTTAAAAAAATCAATTTTAATCCACTCTGAATTTCAGATTGGTGTCCTAATTTTACATTGCTATCCTAGTTTCTTGGTGAATTTGTTTTTTCTTTTTAGAGTGATAAAACTCATAAGAAAGGTAAAGGTCCCCCATGACGTTTAGTCCAGTCGTGTCCGACTCTAGGGTGTGGTGCTCATTCCCGTCTCCAAGCCATAGAGCCATTGTTTGTCCGTAGACAGTTTCTGTGGTCACGTGGCCAGCGCAACTATATACAGAACGCCGTTACCTTCCCGTTGAGATGGTACCTATTTGTCTACTTGCATTTTCATGCTTTCAAACTGCTAGGTTGGCAGGAGCTGGGACAAGCGACAGGGGCTCAGTCACGTGGAATCGATCTTATGACCGCTGTTCTTCTGACCTTGCAGTACAGAGGCTTCTCCGGTTTAACCGCCTAGAGTGGTCTTATAGACCAGATGGGCAGGGTACAAATCAAATCAAATAAACAAACAAACCCGCAGCGCCTCCACGTCCCGTCAACTCATAGGTACCTGCATAGAAACTAGTATCAAAAGTTTCTCAGTAATTCTTGTTGTTTTTATGTTTTAGGTATCCAAGGAATTGTGGATGCTTATCGCCAGGCATTGCCTCAGATTCGTCTTTATGGCCCAACAAACTTTTCTCCAATTATAAATCATGTTGCTAGGTTTGCTGCTCACTCAGCACAACAAAGGACTGCTTCAGTGAGTCTGCCTGATTTAATCTGCGGTTTTAAGCTTTTGTTTTTTATGTAATGAATAAGGGTTAACATTTTCTCAGGAGAAGCATTGCTTTAATGTTTCAAAGTGTGCTAGTAATTATTTGACTGGCAACAGCAGTCTGACTTAACATTCCAAATACGAACCGAATTTTGGAGAAAGCTTTATTTTCTCAATTTATGATATCAACTAAAATAAAATTAATAAAACTAGCATGAAGTAGCTGCCTTGAAACCTGAGCTGTGTTTTTAAAATAGCTTTCCTGTTTTCCTGTTTGAAATTATAGGACACAAGACTATAAATCTAACTTTAAATTGAAATCTGTGGGTGATTAAATAATGAAAAAAAAAATTAAAATAAGGTCTCCATTGTGTTACCCCTCAGTCCTTATACCTAACTTTAACTTTTCAGCCCTGGAAGCTTTGTTGTTATCTGTCTGTCTCTGTCTCTGTCTCTCTGTCTCTCTATCTCTCTCTCTCTATCTATCTATTTCATTTTAATTTTTTGTTTATTTTGAGTGTGTTATTAAATGTCTATTGGTTCATTTTTTTTTAATTTTGAGTGTGTTATTAAATGTCTGTTGGTTGATCTCATTTCTTGCAGCAATACTTTGTCCTGCTGATTATCACAGATGGGGAGATCACTGACCTGGACCAAACCAGGCAGGCCATTGTCAGTGCCTCCAAGTTGCCCATGTCTATTATTATTGTGGGAGTTGGCAGTGCTGAGTTCAAAGCCATGGAATTCTTGGATGGAGATGATGGCGTCCTGAAGTCCTTGACAGGGGAGCCAGTTGTACGCGATATTGTCCAGTTTGTGCCTTTCAGACAGTTCCAAAATGTAAGTTAAAGAATGCCTAATTATGTTTCCAAAGAGTTCTACCATTTTTGGTAGAGAAAATAATTTGTTCTGCAAAGATTTTGAAGATGCCGCAGATGATCATTGGAATGCAGAGATCTGATCTGAGTCATTTTAAAACATTGAATCTGATCTGAGGTACAGGTTTTTGGACTCTTCAGTTCCCTGTCAGTACTCTTTGTCACTACTGTTTAGCAGCACCCAAGTAGAATAGACAGTAAGGTAAAGGTTCCCCTTGACATTTAGTCCAGTCGTGTCCAACTCTAGGGTGTGGTGCTCATCCCCATCTCCAAGCTGTAGAGTCAGCATTTGTCCATAGACGGTTTCCGTGCTCACATGGCTAGTGTGACTAGACACGGAATGCTGTTACCTTCCCACCAAGGTGGTACCTATTTATCTACTCGCATGTTTACATGCTTTCAAACTGCTAGATTGGCAGGAGCTGGGACAAGCAGTGGGAGCTCACTCCGTTGCATGGATTCGCTCTTACAACGGCTGGTCTTCTGACCTCACAGCACAGAGTCTTCTGTGGTTTAACCTGCAACGCCACCACATCCCTCCCACAATAGACAGTACTATCTCATAAAATGCTTCTAAAAATAGTATATATTAAGCCAACTTTTATAAAATATTTTGTTTTTAGGATACGTATTTAGTCACCTTTTTCTGAAGGACTGACTTGTTTTTAGTTGTCCCTTATATTGTGGAGAGTGTGCATTGTAACATTTATTTCTCTGTATGTACTGTTTGTAGGCTCCTCGTGAGGCACTTGCTCAGACAGTGTTGGCGGAGGTTCCCAAGCAACTGGTGTCCTACTTCAAGATGGTTGGCTTGGCTCCAGTAAAATCACCCTCAGAAAAGCAGCTTTAAAACAAATATGCTGTCTTCTCATTTAGAAAGGAAGGAAGAATACTACCTATATGTAGTTTGCTAATGGTTTCTGTCATCCTGTATTCCAGATAATGTTAATGAGATTTCTATGTATAGTGGGAATACAGTCAACCCTCAACTTACAAACAGCCCCACATACGAACTTTTTGATTTACAAACGGCTCTGTTGTTAAAAATTGGCATCGACCTATGAACGAGGTCGAGGCTGCGTTCGCAAGTCAATGCCATTTTTTGCCAACAGAGCCGTTCGTCGCCTTCGGAGGTCTCAAAGGGCTTTCTGCCCGACATGGGAGGAAGCCCTTTGAGAGCTCCGAAGGCAAAAAGGCAGGGAGAAAGGGCTGGAAATTCGAATTTCCCGCCCTTTCTTCCTGCCTTTTTGCCTTCGGAGCTCTCAAAAGACTTTCCTCCCAACACTGGAGGAAGTCCTTTGAGAGCGCCAAAGGTGCCAATCGCCTTTCTCTCCCGTCCCACAGCTTCTCCTGAAGGGCTGCTCCCAATGCCTCTGTGGATCGCCTCCCTTCCCCCCGGCTTCCCTGCAAAAGCCATTAGGAGCAGCCCTTGGGGAGAAGCTGCAGGGCGGGAGAGAAAGGCAATCCAGCCTTTCTCCCTCCTACACTCAGGAGCAGACCTGCTAGCGGCGGCGGAGATCCAGGCCCGGTAGCAGCGCCGGAGAAAGGCAGCGGGGAAGCCAGGGAACTGAGTGAGACTTGGTTGCCAGAAAAAAAATTCTTTTGCAGAGTGGGATTGGACTGGTGAGGTTGTTTTTTGCAGCCCCAGGGGCTTGCAGTGTTTGGTGCTTTTAATTTTAATTTTAATTTTTATTTTTTTGTATTTTTTTATTCGGCCGGAACGGATTAACGGAGTTTCAATGCATTCCTATGGGAAATGGGAAATCGACTTAGAACTTTTCAACTTATGAACGCTGTTCCGGAACGGATTAAGTCGAGGGTTGACTGTACAGTGTTTGCAGATAATATTTAGGCATGCTAGCACTTTTGGTGATTTTTTAAGGCAGCTAGTGGATATCTCAAATCATTAATCATTCATCTCTTCTTGCATTCCATGTACCTATCAACACATGCCATGTGTGGCATGAAATCTAGTGGCAAATCTTGGATTTCATTTTTTTAAAGCAAGGTTCTAGCCTTCATGATTGACTATTATGAAGGTACATAATAGTTAGCTGTGGCTTTCCAAAAGGTAATAGGACATACTGCACTTCGTTGTATGACTAGATGGCCACAAGTGCCCATTCCTGCCCTCTTCCTAGTTCATGACTAGCATTAGCCATCTGCTTAGCTCAAACCTTTTTAATCCGCTAACCCTTTCATTGCATTTCTGAAAGAAAGTATGGCCATACAGAATCAATTACGATAGTGCATTGTTTCTTGTCACATGATGATTTTGTGCAAGGTAGCGTACATCTGTTCAAGGCTACCTGTAAATTATGGGAAGTACAGTTTGCAGAAGAAAACAGTGATGATAGTTCACCCAAAATAAGACTTGTGTGGCTGATTTCCTTCCCTAGTTTTGAATATATTCAAATATAGCTGCTGTAATTTTTTGCATTATTACATCTATAGGAAATTGGCTGGAATCACTAGTAGTCATATAAGATTTACATAACTTGCTGCGGCTAATGATGACGTGCTGGTGATCGTCATGTGCATGGCTAGGCAGTCCACTAAGACATGTCCCAGCACCTCATCCATTGACTACACCCAAATTATGTGAACCTTACATGAACACCAGTAAGACTGTATTCGTGAAGGCTTTTACGGCCGGGATCTAATGGTTGTTGTGGGTTTTCAGGCTCTTTGGGCGTGTTCAGAGCACAGAATGCTGTCCTCTGAAGATGCCGGCCACAGAGACTGGTGAAACGTCAGGAATAACAACCTTCAGAACACGTCCAAAGAGCCTGAAAAACCCACAACAACCACCAGTGAGACTGTTACAGTATATATTGCTGGGAAGACTAGAAAGCAAAACTTTCGTGCATTGATGTTATACCAAAAACTCTTGTTGCCTTAATTTTTGCTGTGCCTTTATGAAATGCCAAGGATGTTTATTTTTGTATTTTTTTAATAAAGAAATTTTAGTACTCAGTTCTCCAAACTGAATGCAGATCTACATTTTTATTTCAGTGTTTGCATTCAAAATTATAGTTTCTTTTCAAGGGCATTTTGGTCAGTGTGTTTCAAGCTATGATTAATGCACTAATACATGGGAGAGAGCATGTGTTTCTCCCTCTTTATGAGCATTTGGAAAAGGGGAGACAGGGCTGGGTGTCTTATTAAGCAGTTATTACACCACCTACCCTGGATGTCCTTCATACAATTTCAGTTACGGCAAAAGCTTGAATTCCTCCTTTAGCCTGTACAATTCCAATTGTATTTTTTTAAAAAATTCATTCCATATTTTCTTGTACTTTTTTCTATAGAAGCACTTTAAAACATAGTATAAAACTTTATTGGATTTGAAAAGCAAACTATATGAAGAATTTAAATTTTAATGGTATCAAATGTAATTGATCACTGTTCCAAAGCCTAAGAAAAAATCCATAGGTTTAAAAATCACTGCAAGTTATCTAAAGCCAAAGACCCTCTTTTTAACTGGCAGCTTGATCTGTGCTACATTTCTTATTCAGCAACTAAGTATAATGTGTTGAAAATATCAAATGATGTATGTTTATTGATTATAACATTTTGCATTATATTTGGAGTAAATCATATAATCTTGAGATCTTCATTTACAAATCTGTAAAATTAATTGCTTGCAGTATTATTTCTGGAGAGTTGTAATTTTTAGGTACAGGTGTACCTTGGTTTACGAATTCAATGCGTTCTCTGGGATGTTACGTAACAAAAAGATTTGTAAACCGAAACATGGTTTGCCATTGGAATGGGGGTGGCGCTGTAAACCTCCAGGCACAATGCATCCTGGGGAAACTTGCTTCGTACTGCGAAAAACAATTGTAAATTAAGGTATTATTTTCAATGGATTTATGTTCATAAACCAAAAATTATATTAACCAAGGTGTTCGTAAACCGAGGTACTACTGTAATTGCTATGACTCGCTGTATGCACATGCCAGAAGGAGACACTAGACTCCAAAAATGGCTGAATGGATCATGCCCGTTCAGGTTGCAGATGGAGAGCATTCAGCAGCCAAAAGTTTCTGGAGTAAATTATGCCTGCATAAGAATGTTATATTTCTTGGGTGGATTGATGAATGGAAATGCTCTGCTTCATGTAAGAATTATTTTTGTGTATCAAACATTGCTTCTGTTTAATAAATTTTAGATATCTTTGCTTTTGTTTCTTCAGTAAACATATCAGGTAACGATAGAACAATTTTTACAATTGCAAAAACAGTTTACAAGTTCTTTAAATAATATTAGGAGTATTTTGGTAAATACCTCATATGGATAGAGTACAGGGAAAGCTGCTTCTTCACACATTGTAAGATTTGACACAGGTTTACATTGCATTTCTGAGACATGACTTTTCCATTTCATTGAAAATCATACATGCTTACCGTTGGACTTGTACTTAGGATACAATCACAGAGTAAAGAGCTATATTAGAGAATATTTATTGAAAATAACTGGGAGGCTGGTATAGTGGTGCCTCGTAAGACAAATGCCTCGCAGAACAAAAATTTCGCAAGACGGATGGTTTTGGCAATGGGGTTCATGACTCGCAAAACATGTTCCTATGGCCGTGCTTTGCAAGATGAATGTTTTCCGTTTTTTGTTCCTGCCTCATGTTTGCTGATTTTTAAATGTTTTTCTAGGATGTTTAAAAAGTTAAAGTTTTTTGATTGACATTTTTTAAATCATCTGCACAATATATATGGCTTTAAAGAGCAATAAACCCCTTGTAAACCAAATTTGACTTTGTTCTGACTTTTTTTTGCCCATAGGAACACATTTATTAGATTTTAATGCATTCCTATGGGAAAATGCGATTTGCAAGACGAATTTTCCGCAAGACAACATTAACCGCGGAACAAATTAAATTCGTCTTGCGAGGCACCACTGTATATTGGTAACAAATCCTGGAGATCGGATGGCTTCCTTGCATCAGAAACTGGGAGGAACACAGCTAGGAGCACCAGCTTGGGTCACCATGTAGTATTCAATCAAAATGCACTGAACCACTGCCCTGCTTCTCTTGTATGAAGTTTTACTTGATAGAAAAAGGTGTGCAAGGCTTATGCACAGAAAATTACATGTGGGACGGACACATACACCTGTAAAATTCCATGGATGAAGCAAGGTCCTAGTACAACAGAAGTATTCTTGGGAAAACTGTTAATCTTTTCAGAATTAGTCTTTTGAATTAAGCAGTGTGTGTGCAGAATCAGTTAATGCCTGTAGTTTATCCACAAGAAAGTGAATGAAAAAAGGGTCTTCTGTGTTAGCGAAATTGTAAACAAAAATAAATGTAAGTATATACAGTGGTGCCTCGCTTAACGAGTGCACCGTACAACGACGAAATCGCATAGCGATCCCTTTTTTGGGATCGCTAATGCGATCGCTCAACGACGATTAGATAAGGCGAAACTCGCTTTGCGAAGATCGGTAAGCGTTTCGCTTACGGATCTTCGCAAAACGAAGCCCCGACAATCAGCTGTTCGGCATGCCCTCGCTTAGCGAAGGCGCGAAAATGGCTGCCGGCAATTGGAATCCTCACTGAACGGGTAAGTAAGAAAGGTATTGGAACGCATTAAACTAAGTTTAATGCGTTTCAATACATTTTTCCCTACCCGTTTAGCGACGATTTCGCATAGCGAGGGTTAATCCGGAACGGATTAACCTCGCTATGTGGGGCACCACTGTAATTGCCTGTCAGTGGTATTAAACTGCACAACTGTCTTTCTCCATCTAATTTGACGTCGATCTGTTCTCAAAGGTGGTAAAACCTGCAGGAGAGTTCATTGATGGCTAATCTGATGCTGATTGGTGCTGTTCATTTTTTACTGTGTCTGCCTTCTTCCCTGGCTTCAGACTCTACCTTGACTTTGGGAGTGGCTGGAATGTTGAGGCACAGCATGTTTGTAGCCTAAGGGTGCTGTGATTTTGTTTTTCTTTCAAGGCTACATTGTGAATCTGTGGCAGAAGTGGCATATGGAGCCAATTACTTTGATCCGAAGTCAAGCGCTTGTATTTCCCACGGATCTCACTGGGCCTCTGGTTATCAATTTAGCACATGGTGGGCTTATTCCACTATACTTGCAAAAAAGCATAAGAGGATGGAAATGTAATGCTGTCAAAATCTCTGATGTATGGGATATTCCTATACAGCCATAGGAAACAAATGGTTATGTTGTATCCTACAACTTATATTTCTTGGTGAAAGTCCAAATATAAGCAAGAACTCTGTAGCAATATATTTGTGAAGATTGTTAAATAAGAGAGGAGTCCAGTTGCCATGACTGAACTTCCAGACAAGCTCTCTCTGCTAGTTCATTTCCTTGTTTGCAGTTTAGTGTATGTAAAAGTCCTGACATCGCCCTTCAAATAAATCACATACACCCATGAGCTATACTTTTAATAGTCTTCGAATCTAGAGCAAGAAATAAAGAAGTGACTAAGGTTTTCATTCTGTGCCAGACATAAATCACTACTGCTCAGTTCTGAAAAGGAATGGGTTTCTTATTTTAAAAATCTATTGATCAATCCCAGTACAATAGAATTACTTCCTTGGGGTGGGAAAAATGTAGTTAAGAGATAAGGAGGTGAGCAAGCAAAATACATCGAAGACACGAGGTCCTCAAAGTTTGTAAGTGATGAGATTAACCTGTGGATTTGTAAATTGCAACGCTGGCTGAAAATCTGTTGGCATAACTATGCCTATGGAAGAAGGTTTATGATGGCATCAGAAGGACATGATTTTTCTAAATTAAACATTTCCTATTTCTGGCTCACAGATCTTGTATCCTTTTGACAAGTGAGAGCCATAGGACAGGTAGAGGAAGTCTTTATACCTAAAATCATATCTGCATGTATGACGTTACTTGCGGTGGTGATTGTTGGTACCGTAATTAAATAATTCATCCTCCTATCTTATGGTTTTCACATTATGAAAAGAATTACACAGGAGCAGTGAAAGCTGCGGGACAGAAGTAGGAAGTGTTTGACTCCATCACCCCCAAATTACCCCCCACTGATGACATCACCAATCTTTGCAGGCATAGTTAACGCCAATTGGGTTTCAGCCAATGAACAAGACAGAGTCGACTTTATTTTAAAATAACATTTAACTCTTACATTTTATTTTAAAATGTATCCTTCCCCCCATATATGCAAGTTCTCTACTTCTACCATTATTTTTTCCCATCAGCCTAGAAATGGCATCTGACACAGAAATGGCAAAACAGTCCTTCAAGCCTGACAGAATGGGGTAATGACTGTCCCTATAACTCCCCATCACAGTGTACTGAACTCTGACGTGAATTTATTTATTTATTTATTTATTTAATTTATGCCCCGCCTATCTGGCCCACCGGACCACTCTATGACATGGAGGACATCAGCTTGGTACTCTCAGGTCATTCACCTACCTAGTGTCCCACACTGAGGAGGGAATTGGACATTAAGGAAAATAAGTTTATACTCAGCCCATTTGTTCTTGCAGAAAGGAATTTCCTCACTGATATGTACCTCAGCAATCAGACTTGTAAATTAAAAACATTTGTTTACATTCTAATGACCAAACACAAAATGAGACTAAATATAAAGTTAAGAAATTATATGTTATGTCATGCCAAACAGATATTTCACCACCTGAGAGAGAACTGCCTCTAAAAACATACTCAGTATGTAATTTAATTAAACATAACAATTTCCATTCTGAAGGAAATCAACCCTGAGCACTCACTGGAAGGGCAGATCCCGAAACTGAGGCTCCAGTATTTGGCCATCTCATGAGAAATCTCCCTGTAAAAGACCCTGATGTTGGGAAAATGTGAAGGCAAGAGGAAAAGGAGACAACAGAGGACAAGATGGTTGGATAGTGTCATCAAAGCTACCAACATGAATTTGACCAAACTATGGGAGGCAGTGGAAGACAGGAGGGCCTGACGTGCTCTGGTCCATGGGGTCACCAAGAGTCAGACACGACTGAACGACTAAACAACAACTTTAATTTCATCTTAATTGCTCCTCTTTTCCAGCTATTAATGGTGCAGAGTCATATTTTAAGTCAGTGAACCAAAAGAAAGCTTAGAAAGCATGGTTGGAAAAGCAAGCAGAAGAGTGGGCTGCTGGAAGACTGGTGATTGAGTGTACTAGAAACCTGTGTTGCTTGATAAAAATTCTCTCAGGTATATAAGGATCTAATGGTTGTTGTGGGTTTTTCGGGCTTCTTGGCCATGTTCTGAAGGTGGTTTTTCCTAATGTTTCGCCAGTCTCTGTGGCCGGCATCTTCAGAGGACAGCAAAACGTTAGGAAAAACCACTTTCAGAACACGGCCAAGAAGCCCGAAAAAACCCACAACAACCATTAGATCCCGGCCGTGAAAGCCTTCGCGAATACAGATGAAAAATTGTTCATGACATACCAGGGCTTTTGCACTCTTGCGTGCAAATCTACAAATATTCCAGGTCACACAGCATTAAATCAACACTTCATTAAATCAACATAGCTAACTACTTGATGATCTATTCTATTCAAAGACAGAAAAATATTTTTAATAAATAACAAACATTGCTGAAACTCCAAGGTCTGAAAGATGGGAATGTGTTGGGTGGCTTTCAAAGAGGAGTCCCTGCTTTACTGTTTCGGAAGCTATAGGGAACCAGGAATTGTAATCAGGTAAGTGATTCGACTTGTGGAGGAAGCCTGGCCTGCTCTTTCATGGCATCTGTTCAGCACCAGAACCAAGCAAGGTTAGGGAAAACTGATGCATGGTCCTGTGTGAAAGATTTTGTGTGCAAATTCTAGTTCCCAAAACCAAACCCTTAGACTCAGCATTTGGTTAGACCAGTGGTTCCTAGTCTTGGGTCCTGAGATGGTCTTTGACTTCATCTCCCAGAAATCCTGGCCAGCACAGCTAGTATTGAAGGCTTGTGGGAAGAAGATTTACATAAATTGTCCCAATCACAATAAGCCAAAATACAGAGCCAGTCCCTTGAAGGAAAAAAACAGCAAAAGTTTCAGAGCCACAGTGTAACTGAAATCATTTGCAGCTCATTAATCTGCTCCCACCTCCCACTCCACCAACAGAATGAGACTTTTTTCCTTTGGACACTTCATGGAAAACTGACTGTTAAGGAAGGGGCTTTTAACAATGTTTTTTTCTATGCAATTTTAAATTCCATTTAATTTAAGTTTGTTTTGAAAGTACCAATTGTTTGTTTGTTTGTTTATTTCATTTCATTTATACCCCACCTATCTGGTCAATTGCGACCACTCTAGGTGGCTTACAACACAAAATTCTGTTGTCAACAGACCTTATCTCTTGAAATGAGAAACCCAAGTTCAGAAATCACCGCTTGGCTTCTAGGTTGGTCAGTGTTTTAATGTTATATTATGTTTTTACTACCTTGAATCCTTACTCTGGGAGAAAGTTGCAATACTGAGCCCTATTGTGGAGAGAATGCTGGTTTTAAAGTTTAAGCAGAAGGAAGGAAGGAAGGAAGCACAGCAAATGTCTGAGGGAAAAACAAACTTCTATACCACTCAGGTAATTAACCTTTATGTCACTAAGAAAAGGAAGCAAACACAATCTTGGAATGAACCATGAGGTGAGTCACAGATCTTCCACCTATTCTGTCAACAGACAAAAGAGCAAAAGAGAGGGAAAACACAAGCTGTGAGAAATACTGTTTGTGGAACCCAAGCAGAAATCCTGGTGCTTCTAAATAAATTAACTGGCTGTTAAGGTGGAGATATATTGCTGTCAGCATGATGCAGTTAATATAAAGAATGGGAAGGTCATCTGTAGAGAGAGGTGGAACCCCACAAATACTGATCAAGGTTTATTGTAAGGGGGAAGTGGGAGCAAGTAGTGAATTGCATTTGTTACGAAGCAGCCTTTTAAAAGAAAAGCAAGTGCTGGTCTTCTGACCCTGCAGCACAGGCTTCTGCGGTTTAGCCCGCAGCATCACCACGTCCCTGTATAGAGAGGTGGAACCTCACAAATACTGAGCAAGGTTTATTGTAAGGGGGAAGTGGGAGCAAGTAATGAATTGCATTTGTTACGAAGCAGGCTTTTAAAAGAAAAGCAGGCTTCCTGGACTTTCGGGTGGGAGGGGGCAGAGTAGACTTAGTGCCTGCCTATTTCATATGGATTTGTAGATATTATTGGATATTGTATGACTTGCAGGTGGGGTCTGGGCAGCCAAACCTGCTGGGTGAGTCCCAAAGATTGACTCACTGAAGCGACAGGTGGAGCAGGAAAACAGCAGGAGCAGCCGTTACACCTGGTCAGCACTGCTGCGAGCTGAGCTCTGGCCGCACCATGGCCCTGAGTATCAGCATCAAGAGGGTCACTCAGCTGCCGGGGACTGGAGAGAGGCAGGTGCATGTCAGCTTCCGAGGTGCGGAGTGTGGGAAAAGTGGGCAAAAGGGAACTACTGTGGCTGGTCTTGGGAAAGAGTGAGTTAAGTCTTGGGACTGGGGAGGGGGAAATGGAGAACTAAGAGTCTAGGACACAATCTGCTTCAAGATAGCATGATGCTGGGAAATGATGTGTGTACCAGGGACTGAAATGCAGCATCCTAATTAATTTTCTTTTAGCAGTTAATAGTACAGTCTGCAAAGGAATGTTATTCTCATTGCAAAGGGGATACCGTTTTCCTTAATTTCTCTTTCATTTCCTATGTCTTCAAGGTTATACGGTACACTATATGCTTGTTATATATGCTGTTCTCCTATTTGTTCTGTCATGAAAATAATGTGTGTGTTCAGACACCCACCCACCTGTAATTGAGGACTCCTTCGTACATGCTAAATCTTTGGTACGGACAACACTGCCCTTTAGGGAGTCATATACATCTGTGTGTATAATATTACACAAGACAAACAAATGTATGTCTGTGTTAGCACTGTCCACCAACTAGGGTTTCCCAAAGCACATAGACGCAGTGAGATAGTCAAGTGTAGATTCACTGCATGCAACACTAGACACTAATCTGATTCCACTTAGTACTGGAAAATGAAATGGGTACATAGGAAATCCATCCTGCGCAAGCCAGCCTCAGAATTTGTTTTCTCTCACAACCTATTGGAAAATGAAATAGGTATATAGTATAGCAAATCCATCCTGTGCAAACCAGCCTCAGAATTTGTTTTCTCTCACAACGGAAGCATGTCTTACATTTTCCATTCACTTGGGAATTACTTCCCAGTATAGCTACTTAATACTGGTGACACAATTTGGAGGCAGAATCCAGAGGCTAGTATATAAGGTGAGACTAAATCGCCTAATCCTTTTGCTTGGGAATGACACCAGTTGAAGTCAGCTGGGTTTATTTCTGAGTAAATACATGCAGGACTGTACTGTAATTGCTTGGAGGGACAAGATTTAACATGGCTTTGAGAACAGAAGAAGACTATTGAGACCAGTGCTTGTAAACCTAACCCAGACACAGTGAGATAATTGACTTCAACCTGCCTGTGAGATGCTGGGATTCTTCATATATTCCAGTGTTCCTTCAAGATTACTTATTTTCAAGAAAACTGTACATGAAGCCAGTATGTTACTGCTAATTAATAGGATTTCTATAACTGATCATTTAGCATTCACCAGTGAGCCTACTCTCATTGGGATTACCAGTGGGATCCTCAGTAAAGTGACTTTCACTTCATACTAAGTATGTTTGAGTTACCAGAGCATCCCAGATCCTTTGATCCAGAGGCTGCTCAATGCTTCCAATAGCCTGAGAATTCTTCTCATCCTTTTCCTACCAGCAATTAGACATCATCATGACTATCCTAAATATTTTAGCTCTGTGTTATGTGCTTTACAATTTCTTGGTCTTTATTTGTTTTTCATCGGTTACTCTCTCAATTAAAAAAAAATTGTAACATCCTGAAATAAATCCGGGTTAAAAATGTTTAACTTCTCTGTTCGCAGAAATATTTCTCTTGTAATATTTTTGCTACCCTTTCGTTTCCTCTTTGTTCTTTATTTAAATCTAGCTTCTCGCCAGTAGTTGTTGACTCAGTAGCTGATAGCAGTCTGGTATCCATTTTGTACATTCCACTGTGGTGAAATATTTACTGCAGAAATATTTGTCTAGAAGTGTAAGTTAAGAGGACACTTATCTTTTCTAGCAACCTGTCCTTCCCATCCCCTATGTCATTTTCTTTTTGTATACGCCCAGAAATCTTGTCTCTCCTTGTTTTCTCTTGTTCTGAACATTACAACCTACAGTGGCTTCTAATACTACAGTTACATTTCACCTCCATACTATTTATACGGGGAGATACTTTTGCTTTGGAGCAAAGTTAATTATATACAGAGATCTAATATTGTAGTGCATTAAAACCTCAGATCATCATATGTAGTTTAGACTTTTGCTTTCACATCTTGGAAAACCATTTAACTGTTTCTCCCTCTTAGATATATTATAGCATAACTAAAAGGATAACAATGCAGTGTGTAGTGGTTAGAGTGTTGGACTTGGACCAGGCAGATTCTGCTTCAAACTTCTGCTCAGTTGGAAAGCTTACTTGGTGGTGTTGGACCGGTCACTATCAATTATATCAAGCAAGTGACTAAGATCAGAGAGGGGCTGTGGATTGCAAGACAGGAAGATGAATTACAGTACAGTACTGAGAACAGGATGAATTAAGTTGTTAGAAATAATGTTTATTACTGTTCCTCATATGACTGTTTGTTCTGGATATTGTCTTGTTACATAAATATATGGGCAATATCCTGTTGCCTAGTTTCACCTACACAATTAGAGTGATGTCACTGGCAGCGGCAGATTGCCATTAACTAAAAATCCCAATACAATTTGCATGTAACAAAAATAGAAAAAGGAAGTCTTTAATTAGTGGCATTCTGCCCCTGTCAGTGAAAGTCGCTTCCATTGCACAGGTGGAGCTATGTAACAGGATACTGGCCAATGTGCATTAAAATCTTTAAATGTTTAAATGTCTATACACCGGCCTGGGTGATCTAAAAGTCAGTTGAGCTCACTCCGCATTCCAGCACTGAGATATATAAACAAGGTCAGAAAGAATAATTCTGATGCTATCTAGAAATCAGCAGATGTTGGCAGCTGGGGTTTTGGGTAGTCTGAGAAAAGGTATGGACTCAGGGACCTCTAGGGAAAAGAAGATCTCTTGATCTGTCAGAAAGGTATGTGTTCAAACAAGTATTTAGGCAAAACACAAAACAGAATAAGGTACATCTGGCTTCCTCAAAGTAGATTAATGCTATGTGTTCTCGCTGTACAACAGCAGAAGCATTATTTTTTTTTTCTGTTAACTGGTTTATGGCAGACCTATGAATTAATCACCTCCAAAGAGTCCTGTCATTAACATCACTCCTTAGATCTTGCAAATGCCTGGCTTCCTTTCTTGACTCAATCCATCTCATGTTAGGTCTTTCTTTTTTTCCTGCCTCCAACTAGTGAGTTTTGATTTTTTTCATTACATGCCCAAAGTACGATAACCTCTGTTTAGTCATTTCATTTTCTACAGAGAATTCTGATTTCATTTGCTCCAGAAACCACCTATTAGCAGGAGTATAGAGGTTGCTTTATCAAGGCATATAGTGCCCTTTCAAGGTTACTCAGATGCATGGCAACTGATGATTACACTGCCTGACACAAAAGGTGTCTGGATCTGCTTCCCATATATGTGTTAGTAGTAAAGTGACCAAGGAAGTGGTGAGTCAAAAAAAGAAAAGAAAAAAAAAAGAAAAAAGAAAACAAACAAAAAGACATAGTTGAGAAAATCACAGTTTCAGCCAAATTAATCCAAGTCAATAAAGTTGTTAAATCATTATTTGGATAAGACGTAGTTGAATATTTCGAAAGACATTTTTAGACTCTTGAAAAAAATTATTTCCTGATGTATGATTTGTAGCAAGAGTTTTGTATAGAATGATCTAGTTTTTTTTTACTGTGGATGCCAAGAAATTGTAATCCTCCAAATGTTGTTGGAGTACAATATCTACCAGCCCTAGACAGCATGTGAAGAAAGATGATAACTTCAATCCACCAAAATCTAAAGACAAAACAGTAGCCATACTGTTTGATGGAAGGGAGCATTGTCCACCATGCTACTCCATAACAGTGGGTGGGATATAAGATTAGTTAGATCATGCCAAAGAGGAGGCTAAGTAGCAAACTAGGTGCAGTTTATTGTAACTCTGGTAGCCCCACCCTCTGTCCAAACAACCCCGGGGGGGCATTAGCAATCATTGTCTAAAGGGCCACACACTCCCCATCTACTGCATTTTTGGAAGATGTGTACTGCGTGACAATGTATATACTCTCCGCAGCAAGAGACAGCAATTGTTGTATTTTGTTCCCAGGCTTCACACAGAAGACAAAGAAGATACGCTGTGGTCAGGAAGCAGTCTTCGGGGAGGTAAGAATGCATCACACTCTGCTGAAACCCAATGCTTTCAGTCATGTTTGGACAGCATGTGTTTATGAATGTTACTTCAGGACAAACTTAATTTCTTTAACAGAGCAAAATAATATACTAAGATTGGTATCATGTAAAGTAGTTTGATGTGGCTGAAGATATATGCTGTTAACAACATCACCTTGTTCTACCATGCATTCTATCCTTTGTTAAATCATATAAAGTTACTTTTTTTTTTTACAACAAACACAGTTCCTCCATTCATACATTCAACTTGTATACAGTACTGCCCTATAGTGCATAGCACTCTCTGGGCAGTTTGCAACTTATCAAAACATAATTACAGACATACAAACAAACAGGAAAATGCAGTAAATACAAAAACAAATAAAAACCCTGTCTCTAGCTGAATAAATAAAAATTGTATTTAAATAAATTAAACAAATTTAAAACAAATTTGAACATCCCAGGCCAATAAGTAAAATACTAATGAAAGGCCACTTTATATAATTTGGTTTTAATTAACTGCCTGAAAACTGAGAGGGATGGTGCCTGATGAACTTCTGTAGGAAATTTATTCTAGAGGAAAGGGGTCACAACCAAGAAAGAATGATTCCAGATCATAACTCTTTTAGCTTCCTTAGGTGTCATGATTTTTAACATCAAGAACTGTAAGACGTGGGTGGAACAGGTTGCATCTGGCTGCAGAGGTTGGGAATTTGATTTCCCACTTTCTCTCCTTGACAGGGCTGGGCTTGATCCATAGAGTCGCTTCCAGCTCTGCAGTCCTAAAATTATTTTGCAGGAGTGACATTCTGACAAGTATTGAGGTCCTAAACCATTGAGGGCTTTATAGGTCCTCGGCGGCACCTTGAATTGGGCACAGAGAGTCAATGAAAGTGTGCAAAACTGGGACATGTGTTCATATCTGCTGGTACCACTAATCAGTCTGGCCATATTTTGGATCTGCTGAAGTTTTTGTATCAACTTCAAGGGCAGCCCTACATAGAGAGCATTACTAGTCGATTTTACAAATTAATAATGCATGGACCACCATTGTGAGGCATTTCTTATCCAGGTCGAGGTGTAGGTAGGCAATCAGCCAGTTCATAAAAGGCACTCTTGGCCACAGCAGATATTTGCATCTCCATAGAGAGAGTTGTGTCCAAGAGCATTCCCAAATTGTGAACCCGGTCTTTCAGGGGAAGTGTAACCTCATCTAAAGTAATTTCCTCTAGCCAGTTGAACGGTCCATCCAATATTAGTAGTTCTGTCTTATCTGGATTCAGTTTCTGTTTGTTGGCCCTTATTTCCATTTGATTTCTTCTGAGTAGCTTTGTATAGATATTAAAAAGCATTGGGGAGATGGGCAATCCCTGAAGGATGTCATGAAGGAGTCCCCAAGGGAAATAAACCCCATCCCCTAGCTGTACCAATTGAGATCAGCCGTCAAGAAAGGACTGGAACTTGTATTCGTGAATACAAGGACTGGAACTACTGAAAAATAGAGACCCAAGTCCTAAAAATCAAAGGCCATCTCAGAAGGATACCATGGTTGATGGTATCAAAGGCTGCAGAAAGACCCAGGAAGATCAGCAGGGTTGCACTCCCCCTGTTCGTCTCCCTTAGGAGATCACCTTGCAGGATGACCAGTGCTGTTTCAGTTCCATGGCATGGCCTGAACCCCAATGAAAATGGGTTTAGGTTCTCTGTATCCTCCAAGAATTCCTGCATCTGGTTGGCTACCACCCTCTCAATCAATTTGCTCATGCATGGAATACTGTATTGGCAATGGAACTATAGTTATTAAGATCAGCCATTGCTAAGTTTAGGTTCTTTGGAAGATGCTTTTTAATTGTTTCCTTTAAATGGGAGGATAAATGATTATCCCATAGAGACATATTAATGATGTATGTAGTCCATTCCATTGTTATTTACTTTGCTGATGTTTAGAGTAGACTTTGGTCTAGATGGGCAGGATATAAATTTAATAAACAAATAAATAAATAAAATTTTGAGCCATGAAGGTCAAGGATCTAGGGCTTTGCAGCGTGCAAGTGCTTTGTCTACATCCTCAGGCCTTACTAACTGAAACTGGTCCAATTTAACCTGACTACATGGTGCATTGGACATCTCCTTCAGATCTACTGGTCCTGATAGAGGCCTTCAACCTAGATCTACAATGGGATATCAGTAATTTGCCATTGTCAGCTGTAAAATGTAAAAAATTGTATGAAAGCAATCAAGAGCAATTAAAGACGGCTAATGTATGAAAATGTATGAAAGCAATCAAGAGCAATTAAAGACTGACACATGCACTACTCACAGATTTGTAGCATTTAACACTGGATACAAGATAAAGAATTATCTAATATGCAGGCCTTGGCGAACTTTCCAGTATTGATTCTGCTGCTCTTTTTCACTTTTTAGCTCTTCCGCTGGCCACATTATGGAAAACTTATCGCAGATATGAAAATGTATGAAAGCAATCAAGAGCAATTAAAGACTGACACATGCACTACTCACAGATTTGTAGCATTTAACACTGGATACAAGATAAAGAATTATCTAATATGCAGGCCTTGGCGAACTTTCCAGTATTGATTCTGCTGCTCTTTTTCACTTTTTAGCTCTTCCGCTGGCCACATTATGGAAAACTTATCGCAGAAGAGATGCTGATTATTAAAGTTTACAACTGCAGTAAGGTATTCAGTAACAGGTAGGTTCATATTTCTTTCAAGGGAGCTTTTTGAGGTGCTTGCCAAGTGCTGGCTTTGAGGGAGAGTGCTTGGTTCATATGTCAGAGCTCAGAGATTTTTTCATGTTTTGGATTGCAACTGCTAGACCCATAGCCACTTCAAAGCAGCTTGGGATTCAAAGCTGTTTTCCAAGCTCTGAATATTGTCACCAATGTTATGGTTATGAAACCAAAGTACACCTCCACTGCAAAGATCTTATTGTTGTACTTAGTCTCTGTGAATTGCATTCTTTATGATTTGACAAATTTAAACTGAACACTACCTGGCCGCTCGAGATTCAATGACGCCAAGGACACACTCTTGGCTTCAATACCAGCAGGACTAAATGTAGGCAATTTGAAAGTCAGAATACAGCAAACTGGCTAAACAAAACCTGGATTAAGGAACTATCCTAAACTGATTTAATAGATTACTAGTCCATTACTATATTTTCCTTCAGTTACGATCACATACTAATATTCACTTGGGCACATATTGGGTAGCCATTACCACTCTTGGATATCCACTAACAGATAAATAATGCTTGTAACTTCAGTGAAAAGGTATTAAGACATACCACATGCAAGAACAGTAATGGCAAGGCAACCAAGTCTTCCAGAAGTTAAACCTCAGTAAAGTTTGCATGCACTGCTGCTCTGTTTGCATGTAACATCTATCTGTACATGGCAAAAAGTTTCATTCCTAGGCAATTCATTACATGCAGAAAAGGAGAAAGCTTCAAGTGGTACTTACAGTACATTCTTCCTTCTCCAACCTGGTACTGTCCACAAATGTCCGGAATCCCTGCAGGACACCAGGATGGAGATGGTTGTTTAAATCACTTTCTCTGAATGCTGAGGTCTGAAAAAGAGCCTACAGTATTGTATATTCATTATACCTTGACCGATACTCAGAAATCCTAACAGACAAATGTACTGTACATAGGTGAATATATATATGCCTTTATATAAACAAAGATAGACTTTCTTGGCACTTGAAATGTGTAGTTAGCAGCTCATACATATGGTTGTATTTATTCATTAACCTTCTCATTTCTCCTGCTATATTCTAGCACTTTATTCCAGTATTGCTTGTTGTTTCATTGTAGATTACTTGGTACTTTAATTATCAGTCTTCAGCAGTTGGTGACATCTGGACGACTAAATATCCGAGAGGCTCTCGTGGACAAAAACCATAGTATCACTGGAGTAAGTAATTTGGATGTTATCTTCACCCTAATTTACTTGAAAACCACCAGTGAGATGGCACTGAGCTCTCAGGTAGGACTTGAAAGGGAATAATTGAGGGTCAAACTATGCAAGACACCACCTTCACAATTAGAAGGTGGTAAAAAGTTAGCACTCCAGAAACACATTCCTTCAAAGCCTCTATGCTTGAATAACTAGACTTGCAAAGACTGTGTTTACCTTATTATGACCAATCATAAAAAGCAAACTAATTTGCTTATCTGTGGAGAAGAGGAAAACAGGCATTTTATCAATTAAAGAAGCTCCTCTTCTAGAATCATAGAATAATTGAGTTGGAAGGAGCTTGTAAGAACATCAAATCCAACCCCGTTTAATGCAAGAATCCAAAACAACAAATCGAACATCAAATCCAGCCCCCTGTTTAATGCAAGAATCCAAAACAACAAATCTAATGAAGAGAGTCTGCAAGAATTTTTATTGGGGTTACAAAGCTGGCATTACAACACATTGGCTAAAATCTTTTTACTTAACATTGTAAGTTGCACTTGAGTAGGCATGGAATCAGTGGAGATTTGGCATATCAGCTGCTCCATAAGTTCCATTGATTCAAATTGTCCTGTTCCAGCTGTGACAGTTTATGTGATAGTACACCAAAGTAAGATTTTTATGAGGTTTCTTAGGCTGAAAAGCTAGGTATCTATGATAAATTCTGGGAGGAGAGCCTTTGCTTTGCTGCTTTATTTATTCCCTCACAGATTGATTAAAATAGCAGAACATGTAACGGACTGTAATTCTACCATTTCAACTATAATTGGGGGATTATATGACTGACACACCTGTCCTCAGCTCAGTGCTAAAAATTCCCAATACTGTACACAGAAAATGAAATGTCCGGAAGCATAGATTCTAGCCTAACCTGTTCTTTGGCATGCTAGCTTTAACAGCGTATTTCCCTCATGCGTAAGCATGAAAGAAGCATCTGAAGAAAAAAAGTTGTATCACTGAGGAATCACACTATGCAATATGTGGCTTGTATTTTATATCAGCCCACTTAGAATAGCTGTTGCCAGGGCTGGCCAAATACATCTGACTGCCCAAGAATAAATAACACCTTCTCTCCCCCCGCCCTCCCATCAAGGTACATGTAATCTGAAGCCAGCCAAGTTATTTTGCTGCAAGAAGTAAAAAAAATCAGGTCAACTCTGCCCTTCCCTGGCAGTAAAGACACAATACAATGCATAACCTTTTACTGCTCTGTTATTACTTTTACAGTTTGCTGCTTGAGGCAGCTGGCTCGCTCTGCCTAACGGGAGAACCAGCCCTAGCTTCTAAATACTTCTACATATAGTCAATCAACACAAACCAGTGGAATAGCACTACATTGCTGAAGTAACTTTGTTCACTGATTTTCTCCCTCTTTTCTTCCTTTTGTGTGTGTACTGATTCTTATTTCTGCAATGTTTAAATCATAGAAATGTACATATGTATGCATATATTTTCATAAATGTATACCCTGTTCAGAATAAAGCAAAACAAACACAATAAAAACTGCCAGGATAGTTTGCAAACAATAACTATGATCTCCCTATACAGATATATGTTGAACTAGAACTGCGATACCAGCCTCCTGATGGCGCTGTGGGAACATGGGCTGAGGAGGATTTTGTCTATCAGATGAAAGACAGGTATAGAGAATTATACTCCAATTTCAGCAAAACTGACATTCCTGCAAGGCCTGTGTATTGTTGATTCTACTGTTAGCAGCATGGAATTGTGGGGTTTTATTTATCACAGGATGGCTTTATTGGACTGACAGGCTGAACAATAAGGACATACTAAAGCAAATGAATAAAGACCAAGAGATAGTCAAACTCATGATCTAGGGCTCATGCAAGTGCAAACTGAGATGAGTAACAACTCTGGGTCATATGATACTAATCCTTGAAAGAGGAATCATCACAGTTAAAGATGATATAGCATTGCTTTGGAAGTAATTGCCCCATAGCAGTCTCTTTGAACTGCTAATCTGAAGAATTCTGATGACAAAGCAATGCTGGTGACATCAAACCAAGAGGGACATGCTTTACTTTAGCTGGTGTGGAGCTTGCAGCTCACAGTCCTGGCTGCCAACAGAGACTTGGGGGACCTGCAGCTACTTCTCCAATGCATTGCAGACGCGGTATGGCACAGCACTCACAGATGCCTGTTGGATTGACAAGCAAGGACAATAAGAGGGGACTGGTTTTAAAGTGACTTGGGAGCTGTACAGCTGGAAACATTTTGAGTGCAAACCCTCATAAATCCTTTTTTCAAAGCAAGAAACAAACAAACAAAAGCTATGGAAGAGCTTTAGAAACCATTGGCACATTTGCTCCATTATTTATCACACTGGCAACTTGACTCGGACTCATCTCAGGGATTTCAGGGGGAGGGGACTTGTGACTTGACTCTTGACTTGGACTCATTTGTCCGAGTTGCATAGTTGAGTCCTTATGGGCTTCCCTACCTCCTGCTGCCACTGCCATCTTCAGAGACAACAAGCCCGGCTTCTGGAAGGGAAGTCAGCCTGCTGTCTCTGTGCATGTGCTGGCCTGGCTTCCCTATCTGCACCTGCACCCCTCCCCCCCGGGGGGCACATATCAACTTGAGACTTAGATTCGAGGCTTTGGAGTTGGATTCCAGTCTGACAATTTACACTCAGAATCAGGATTCACACCGAAAAACCTGGACTCAGTATTGGGAGTCCCTGCTTTTAACTCCATCTGTTATCTCAAAGAGGCCCAGTTTCTTTGGGGCATGTGCAATTAGAACTTGCATGACATCAGCTGTGATGTCATCTGTGCCTCAATGGAGAATAGGGCTGCCTCTCCCAACATAGTTGCATCTCTCCACCTGCTTCATGCCTGGCAGAATCAATATAAAACACTGTTTTATTCTGCAAGAAAAAAAGAATGCTCTTTCATGTTTCCCACACCTATTTCCTTCCTTTGTAGTTATGAAGGGATTTCTCTGTCTCTCATTGCCCATTTAAGGACAGGACTTTTGTATTTCCAATCAAAGGGGTAGAGACAAGTGGAGGAGGAAAGGAGGAGATGTATTAGAGTGTGGAAACTCAATTCAGATTACATTCAAGCAAAAATTAAAAACCATTATGAAAGCTTGGAGTGAGTCATTCCAAATCTATGGGGAAAAGGGACCATAGTTCCAGCCCTTAATGATGTGAGCCACATATTTTTTGTGGATGAACCCTTCATTATTGAGTTCTTTTATATTAACTTGTTTCTTTGGGATTCACTCAGACAATCTAGAATATTAACTTACAAATCATTGCACTTCTGTATTTTCCACCTCTCCTTCTATCTTCTCAGTGACATAATTTCTGGCTCCACTCACTCAGGTGAAAACAGACATATGCTAACCAGGTTGTATGTAATTCTTTTGACAATCCTGCTTTTCAACTGATCACAAAAGAGCAGTGTCTCAGGAAACTCACAGTTCTTGAGTACAAGAAAGATCAGTCAGAACAAACTGGGTAAAAAGCTATTTATACAACCAACATGTTCTTACTTTTTATAACCCATGACTCATTTCTGTTTTCCTACAGTTCAGAGATTATTATCCGCAATCCTGGATTTGAAGAACTGGAGTAAGTGGCCATTTTTCTACTTTGCAGCCCAATATAATGAGTTGCTCTTCTGGCAAGTCAAATGTGTGGGATCATTTAAAGACTTTTGCCTTAGTGCAATGCAGCCTTGTACTTTTGCTTTGAGTCAGTTTGGATCACAATAACAGGACAGCACTGGAGATCAACACTGCAATGTTGGTGACTACCATATTGATCCAATGGAAGCATAGTGGTGACACACAGAATGGCTATATGTCACAGTAAAGAGTGTGCACAGTGGTGTGTATGATGCACGTCCAGGCCAGCTTTTTAGCAGAGTAAAGGAGCTGCCTCAGGTGGCAGATGATGAGTGGTGTGAGTCATGGCAAGGTGCTGAAGGAAAGAATAAAAACAAAAAACAATGACCATGGCTGGTCAGTTGTGGTGGTGCTGGTGGGAATTATTCTGCTGAATCTTTCTTCAACATGGGTTAGGGGTAAAGTGTTGCCCACCATATCTGACAGCCTTCTTATGATGGAAGCAGAGGTAGATATAAATGTGGCATATCCTAAGAATTATGCAGCTATGACTGCAAGAACCATATACTGTATAAGATTCAGAGCTCAAGCCTATGCACCTGTACTTCCAAACCTCCTGTGTTGGGCAGGAAGGTCTGAAGAGAGACATAACTGCATTTAACAGTCCTTCCCACAATAAGAAGTTCCACATAATCAGCATTATGAATCATAGGGAGAAGTGCAATCATGTTGAGCCAATGGTGGTTACTATCTCTCTTCATTATTATATGTTGGAGAGTAGGAGAAGGGGTGGTACACATGTCTCTCTTTGCTTCTAATTCAAGAGAGCTAATGTCTTAGTAGGTATCAGTGGGAAAGATGGATAGATGATGAAATCTCTTGCAGTGAAATCCGTGATTGAAAGTTATTCACTGGTTAATAATAGTTGTTACAGTAACATGATCATCTTGTTCATAATCAAGACAAAATAATATGCAGTGTTGATTATATTGAATAAAAATTTATGGTTTTCTTTCAAATACAGGGAAAGCAGGATTATAAATGGCGTCAGAAGGATAAAAGTACTGCACACCAAAAAAGATCACCGGTTTCTTATAGTTCCCTTTGTATGTAACTAGAATGCTTGTGTGTTAACAGTGAAGCTGATGTGAAACGTGCTGCTGATCTGGACAGGAAGGCTGCGGTGCTTGGCAGGAAACTTGTCAAAGGACTGGAGACTGATGATGATGAGGATGATTATTATGATGTATCTGACATGGAGTTCTCGGGCATTGTCTTTAGCCCCGTTAAGAGGTACATTTGTGAATTCCCTTTCTGTTTAAGTGGCAATGTCTGGTGATATTTTCACGAAACACTGAAATAAATGTTCATTTATTAGGAATTCATTCTGCTCTGCTTTGCAAGACCACAGGAAATATACATGGTCCTTACATGTTTACCTTCTTCAGCCAGCTTGCCTACAATGGCTCTGTGCAGCAGATTAACTGAAAAACGAAGTCCCCAGGACTACCTGTGAGCCTTTTGCATGGAAAGGGATTTGAACCAGATTTTCAGAGCGAGCAGTGCAACTGCTATATCACACACACTTTTATATATGTTTCAGAATTACACCTTGAATATAAAATTATTGGTGTTTTTGAATTTATTTTCTTAAACATCCAATCTGAAGAGAAACCAGACTATATCAGAGTATTTCTTAAACATGAAATTTAAAATATTTAATAATAATAATTTTAGAACTGCAAAGTTGTAAGGTACTCCATGAATCATTGAGTCCAGCTTCTGTCAAGGAGGCACAGTGGGGAATCAAACTCCCAACCTCTAGCTCCACAACCAGAAGCTTAAGCTGCTGAGCTATACAGCAGTTTATACCACACTTTTTCTTTTTGGAAATTAAAAATTTGCTTTCTCCCATTATCCTTCCCAGTGAAACTATTATCTTAATAGAGGATAAATTCCCATGCAAAAAGGCCTAGCAAGACTTCGAAAATTATCTTGCTCTCTACATAGACCTTCAGTTTCCACAAATTGTAGCTCCCAGACTTTGATTTTGCAGTGGATGAGGAGATGTGTGTTATTTTTATTTTTCTGTTTTTTAGTATTTTGAGAGGACAATGTACAGCTATTACTGCTCATTCTGGAATACAGTTTCACTTATGTTCATTCCTGGTCCGCATTCCAGAAACAAAATAATAATTCAAAGGAAGTGGAATTGTTAAAGCGTTTAATTAGTGCTGTATTTCCTTTACAGCCGTTCCAGAATCTTCTCAAAGTCAGAGCTGCATTCTGCTCCTAGACCACGAAGTTTCCAGGTATAATTCTTGCTCCTCTTACTATAAATCAGAAGTACACAAACTTTTGGCCTGATGGGCTGTAGTCAGTGTTGGCTCCCAGTGATTAACAATTATTGTCAATCCTCCAGTGATTGTCAATGATTCCTGTTCCTCTGTCACTGAGAAAACAGTGATCTTGAAAGTGGCAGTGCAAGGCTATCATTGATAATCTGTCCTTACAGTTCAGATTACTGTATGTAAGTGTTCTAGAGCAGTGGTCCCACACATTTTCCAAACTGCAGACTGATTTGGGGTGGTGAGGGGTGGTGTCTGTGCATGGAGGGCGGGGCACCCATACGTGGGGGCAGGGCACTCATACATGCACACACGGGTGGGGTGGGCACCTGTACATACATGTACAAGGGGACAACGCACCTGTAAACACATGTGGGGTGGGGCACCCATGTGTGCATGGGGGCATGTGTGCTTATGTGCATGTGGGGGGCATACGTGGGAGGAGCGGGGGATCTGTCACTGTGGCCTGGCCTGGTACCTGGCTGCCAAGTGGGTATTCGTTGTTTCAAGCAGACTTTCAGTTCCGAGAACTCAGACTTGCAAATTATAGAAGTGCCTGCGTCCTGCTGAGCAATTGTGAAACAAACCAAGCTAATTTGCAAATTATGGGATCTGAGAAAAGCTCCATCTGTGACAATCAGAAGTAATTATCATTTAAAAGATTGACTGAGTTGCACGGAAAAGTAGGTGGGGTTATTCTGGTTTCAGGAAGTTACATGGAATCATCAAGAATGGTATGTGACCTACAGACTTGAGATTGTGTACTTTTGCTATAAACCATTTACAAGAATTACATATTACCATATTGTTTCCTGGATGTGGAGAGCATGACATTTCCAAAACCTCTCCTAGATGCCAAATTTGTAGTAGACTTCTAGTCTATCTTCAATATTTGGTAATCTCTGTCAGAAAACTTTATATTAGAGGAAATTATCTGAGTGTCCTTAGCATACCAGTAACTTATGAAAAAGTACTCTGTGACACTTAATGATTTGTCCTCAAAGCTAATGAAATGAAAAGATTTGCTGTTTGGATAAACAGCTCTGCAGTTCCAAAGTTTCCAGTTGTGTCAATACATGTTTACTGTTTAAATAGCCCAAGCTTTTGATGGCAATATCCCACCCCCTCTTTTTCACAGAAGGCAAGATATGCTGTTTGTTCACATCTCTTATTTAATTCCTTTTCCTATTGTGGCAACCCACTGCATAGATTGGTATCAACATAATTGAAGCTCAGAAGTTGGTTGGGGTGAACATTGATCCTTTTGTAGTTGTGAAAATTGGAGATGAGAAGAGACACACAGCAACACAGAAGTCAACCAATTGTCCTTTTTACAATGAGGTATGTAACAGGCAAACAAAGTTATCTTTGTGCAGATGAGTGCTGTTATACAGTATCTCAATATAACATCTGCAAACATCTCTCCATTTCAGAGGACTCACTAGCTGCATGAAGGCCATTTCATCTGTGACACGATGCATTGAATTAATAGGCAAACCTATGTAACTTATTTGCACACTCCAGTTATTGCTCTACATATATTAGCTGAGAGAATACTATTTGTGTATTGTTTGTTAGCAAATATTATCCAGGATTGTGTAACCGTGATCATGCATCATCATATGTGATTAATTATTATTTGTGATTATCAATAAGTAGGCTGAGTTTTCAGTCTAACAAGGGAAATCTCAAGTGGAAATTTTATAAGATATCAGGTTCTTCTAATCTTATCTAGCTCTTTGGGAGAAGCATGTGGCAAGGCCTACAATGACAACTCTTAGAACATACATAATATACTGTAGGAACTCTCTACTTAAATTTTTTACTTTTCTTTTTCAGTATTTTACGTTTGAATTCCATGAACCAAGAGATATCTTATTCCACAGACTCATACAAATTTCTGTAAGTATATCAACAACTATTATACACTCCTGTGGGACACAGGAAACAAGATCTCACGGCATAGCAACTGAGATGTAAAGTATATTAAATTAGAGTAGGTAATAACCCTATACTTAGCATTAGGGTTTTTTTTCTTTCCAAATTTCCCCCTTGAGTGTTTGGTTTTGCTTTGCTTTGGTGAACTAAATTTCCAGAATATCCAGTAATCAGGCTTGCTAGAAGGCTGCAGCAGTTGTACTTCAAAAATAGCAATTTTCCCATTGTCTTGAATTACTTGTCAGAGGTGTAGACTAACAGCATTTCTTATCAGAATTACAGTTTGACCAACATGCATACTGTTGTACAGATGACTGACCAAAGTAGATGTGTTTTTATAGAGTGCCATATTGCCATATGGGTACAGGAGGCTATACAGAGTTTCAGATGTGAAAGATAGGAATCAAAATGCATCCAAAATCGCCAGTGAGAAAGAAATTTTAGGGTTACTGATGCTTTTCTCTCACTGAAATCAGTAGAACAAGCTAGACATGTCATTTAGGTCCTGTTGATTTGAGTGGGTCTAAAGCTTTGTTAGCTGAGATTGTGGTCACACAGGGAAATGAATTGCAATGAGCTAGTGATCACATGATGCACAGGGAAATGCGCTCCAACTGGATTCCAATCTGTGCCCAAGCTGGACCCTTTTGGTGCAGCTGTATGGCTTCTACTTTTGGGACCAGATTGGAGCAATTTCCCAGTGGACAGAAGGGTTGCTTTAAGGAAGGTTACTTCCATTAAAGTAACTCTTTCCTTGTGTGAACAGTTGAGTTCCTTTGCAGACCTTTGATCGTACCTTTATTTTGGTATAACATGTACTAAAGCTTTGTTATACAGTAGTTGGGAATGGGGATTAATAATTCAAGACAAACATTCCATGAAAAATAATTGAGGAGGGATTTGTTAGAAGAAAAGAATTTAACTGCTCCTCAATCATATTGCAGTAGATATAATCTAGTTCGTTCTCAGGAAAATTCCAAATATCAAGAGCAATGTTTTCTAATCTGTTCTATTACTCTCACATCTATTCTTTACCCCTGATGGCAATTCAACTGTCATCTATAGTTAACATCTGCACTTGACAAGAAGCCATCCCCTTCCAGGATGATGCAGACAACCAACCTGGGATAAAAAAGAGGCAAGCTTTTGTTTGCCACGTTCCAGGATTTTACTCCAGTACGATTTGGTTGTATGCACAGGCTAAAAAACACATCTGCTTCAAATCTCAGTTGAACTAAAGTTTATAAAAGTTTGTCTATTATTCTGTCACAAATACTTAAGTGCTATTTGTAGTCCTGACAATAACAATGTCATTTTGTTAAACATGAGTGTTGAAAAGAAATACTAGCAATTTTTTGGTGTTATTGCATTTGTGAATAAGAGTCTTGCTATTTCTCTTTTCATAAATGCACAGTTCAGAAAGAAATGAGTTCCATCCTCTATGAAACATGACTAAGTATGACTCCAGGGTCACTACAACATCATGTACCCTGTCGATTGTTGTATTTTTGTAAATTGCTGATCAGTTTTAACAGGCTGCTCCCTACCATCATTATCAATGTTGCCTATTACCATTTTTGTGGCATTAACTAAATTCTGAGCCTCTTTTGACAGCCATTTAATTCAATACTGAGCAGGCAATTTGTATTACTGCACAGGTCTTCCACTCAAAGAAGATACCATTCCTAGGTACACTCATAGGGACATTCAAGATTGATCTAGAGACTGTATACAGCCAGCCAGGTATAGTTGGATCCTGATATTGCCACAAGCTGCCTCTTGATTTTCTTTCTTGCAACTCTGCATAGGTTGCTTTGAGTCTATGCAGTGGGCTAACCTTGCATGTGGACCTAATGTTTTAATTTTTAATTTTAAAATTACAGTTGAGTAATGAATACAACTTTTAAAAATAAGTTTCTCTCAAGTGCTCATTATCTTGACTTTCCTATAAGTCTCTTGGTAAAGATTTCAGAGTTTGGATAAATTAAGTTCTATCTGACCAGTTTCTTCACAGGATGTATCAGCTCTATTCTCAATACTACCCCAAGACATAATGAAAAAGAGTTAACAGGGCAAGGTCTGAACCCAGTTTGGGGATATACAGATAGACTGAATGTCCCCCACCCCCTTGAATTTTCTAGAGCTACATGCAAATTTGTAGTCTTAGGTTTACTTCCTCCATCATAACAGGAATTACTTCCTATTTCTTGCTTTCTGTTTTACGGTCTGCAATATGATGCTTCTCCATTATCAAATCTCCATGTGATGCTGAGCTCTGTATTTAGAAACAGCACAACATGAAGTAAAAAAAGACATATGATTGCCCTTGCACGAGCTTTTGTCCCTTTTGCAATTTACAAATTAGCTTGCTTTGTTTGGTGATTGGCAATTGGAGGGGTAAACAGAAGCTCTTCTTAGTGGTCTCCGAGCAGTCACATGCAGGTCTGTACACATAGGCCTAAGTAAAGTACCAACTGAAACAGACCCACAGAATGAAGTCCTAGAAATCAGCTCTAACCATGTTTAAGAACTCTTTTTCCTGCACTTTTATTAAATGAAATTGCTTATAAAATAGTCAATTTTTCCTATGTGTTACTACTAGAAATGGGCACAAACATTGGATCTGAGGTTCCTTCCCCTGGCTCCCTGGCCAATGACCCACTCACCAGTCACAGCGCATGCCTCTCCTTCTCCTCTTCTGTTGTCTGGCCAGTTCCCAGCAGGAACACAAGTATGCCGGTCCTGCCTCCTTGTCTGCGTGGGCGATCCGCCAAGGAGGTGGGGCAAGGAAGCTTGTGCTCCTGCCGGAGACTGGTTGAACAGCTGAGGAGGAGGAGGAGGACAGGAGTCCACACCTTCTGGTGAGTGGGGGTTCCAGCTGGGGAGGTGGAGAAGGTAACAAGGTTTGTGCCCATCTCTAGTTACTACCAATTTCCAATCTAGTAATTTACTTTCAGTAGCTAGAAGCTGAATGCGAAAGTGCTGCACTCTGACAATAAAATACCAAATAATTCCAAAACTGGTTCAGATTATTTTGGCCCCTGAGGCAGAAAATCCCAGAACCACTTATTTGGTAGCAAAAATACAAAAATAAAAAGTGGATTCAGTAGGATGTCATCTCAAATTAACTTCCTGAGGCAGCTCCCTCTTTTTTGCTAGACTTCTCAAATATCTAAAAGCACTGGAATTCCACCATATTCATTTGGGGTGGGGGAGATTAGCAGTTCACATACTCACTGTGACCACGATCTGTCCTTGCCATCCACCTGCAGAACTCTGTTGGTTTTGGGGACGTGCTACTGATATTTGCTTGCCAAATACTTGCTATGCTATTTTGTGAAGATGACACAACTGTATGGCTTTTCTCTGATAGCCTTTCTAGACAGCTGTGTGCTGTAGGGCTCTGGATTTTTAGAGGGAGTAACTGGCCATGCATTAGCTCCATGGAACTGTGAATCAGTTGTTCCATCTTCATGTCTTTAGATCACCGATTTTACCAGAAGTGGGCTGTGATTAATGATCCAAAAGACACGAGAGCTGGAATTAAAGGTTTTGTGAAATGCAACATTTCTGTCATTGCGCGGGGGGATGTCATGACTTCTCTTCCCGGTACTCCTGGCAGTCAGAATGAAGACATTGAAAAGTAAGTCGGTCACCTGGGGAGAGATGTGGTGCATTCCTGCAAAATAGTGCTGCACTCTTTATACTTCTGTGAGTGTTGCAAAGCTTCAGAAGTATAATAGGTTTGGTTTTCATTGGAAGGAATTGACAGGTGTTGGTATCTTGTAGTACTTAATTTTATTTACAAACAGAGTGAATGTAAGTGGAGGCATAGCATAAAGACACATGAGCAAAATACAAATTATGGATAGCAGCTCATTAGAAGCGTACTGTACATTAAAGGTAAAGGTAAAGGTTCCCCTTGACAATTTTTGTCCAGTCGTGATCGACTCTAGGGGGTGGTGCTCATCCCCGTTTCCAAGCCATAGAGCCAGCATTTTGTCCGAAGACAATCTTCCATGGTCACATGGCCAGTGCAACTTAGACATGGAATGCTGTTACCTTCCCACCAAGGTGGTCCCTATTTATCTACTCGCATTTGCATGCTTTCGAACCGCTACGTTGGCGGGAGCTGGGACAAGCGACGGGAGCTCACTCTGTCACGTGGATTCGATCTTACGACTGCTGGTCTTCTGACCCTGCAGCACAGGCTTCTGCGGTTTACCCCGCAGCACCACCACGTCCCTTTGTACTGTACATTACTGGTCCAGAAATGGGATTCCAACAAAGTTTCATGCCTGAGCAATAATACCTGCAAAAGAAAGCTGTTTTGATCTTGCAGTGATGAAACAGATCAAAGTAGGTCTAGCTCTGTTAAAACTTACCTGTCTGAAGATTCCTCAGTTTTAGAACACTATCATTGTGGTCCATTTATCATTTGAAACAATTAGTCTGTCTAAGGTTAAGACTGGCCCTGGTTCAGATCTCTGAAGTATTGGTAAGAGATTGGATAAATTGTTTCTTAAACAAATATTCAGTCTCCGTCGGTAAAATGAAATCCGACAGTCCGTTTGTCATTAGAAAAAGAAAACATGTTTCTGTATTATCTCTACACCATGCTCCCAGAGCACAATGTCTAAGAATTAAAAATGCCAACTAGATTAGTGTTTAATTCATCATGATCAGTGACGTAACAAAGAAAGCTAATTTGCAAGCTATAATTAGAAAATGTTGTAGGAACACGATCAGATGCTTTTAATACTAAGGAATTGCTGCTTCTAAAAATGAACTATCTGTAACATTTTGTTAGGTCCAAAGATTTCTAGACCTTGTGTCTTACTGTGGGTTTCTCCTCCACCTGCACTTATTACCATATTTCAGGGCTGCCTTAGAAATCATCAAGACTGTTGGTTGCAGTAAAATCTAGGACCATAATTCTTTAATTACCAATTAAAAACCCAAAGAGCCCTTGATCTTGTTTTTCTCAGAGGGTAATCACTATTTGAAGTATCTTTTTTTCAGGAACTTGCTCCTACCAAAAAGAGTTCCAGCTGAGAGGCCCTGGGCTAAATTTTGTATCAAAATTTACAAAGCTGACGGCTTGCCTAGCATGAGTGCCGGGATCATGGGTGGTTTTTCAAAGATCGTAGGGGACAAGAAAGTCTTCATTGATCCATATGTGCAAGTTACCTTTTCTGGACAACAGGTAAGCTTTAGGTGTTGTGTGTGTTTAGTCGTTTAGTCGTGTCCGACTCTTCGTGACCCCATGAACCAGAGCACGCCAGGCCCTCCTGTCTTCTACTGCCTCCCGGAGTTGTGTCAGGTTCATGTTGGTTGCTTCGCAGACACTGTCCAGCCATCTCATCCTCGGTCGTCCCCTTCTCCTCTTGCCATCACACTTTCCCAACATCAGGGTCTTTTCCAGGGAGTCTTTTCTTCTCATTAGATGGCCAAAGTACTGGAGCCTCAGCTTCAGGATCTGTCCTTCCAGTGAGCACTCAGGATTGATTTCCTTCAGAATGGATAGGTTTGTTCTCCTTGCAGTCCAGGCGATTCTCAAGAGCCTCCTCCAGCACCACAATTCAAAGGCATCAATTCTTCGGCGGTCTGCTTTCTTTATGGTCCAGCTCTCACTTCCATACATCACAACAGGAAAAACCATAGCTTTGACTATTCGGACTTTTGTTGGCAAGGTGATGTCTCTGCTTTTCAAGATGCTGTCAAGATTTGTCATCGCTTTCCTCCCAAGAAGAAGGCGCCTTTTAATTTCAGGGCTGCTGTCTCCATCTGAAGTAATCATGGAGCCCAGGAAGATAAAATTTGACACTGCCTCCATATCTTCCCCTTCTATTTCCCAGGAGGTGATGGGACCAGTGGCCATGATCTTAGTTTTTTTGATGTTGAGTTTCAGACCATTTTTTGCACTCTCCTCTTTCACTCTCATTACAAGGTTCTTTAATTCCTCCTCACTTTCTGCCATCAGAGTGGTATCATCTGCATATCGGAGGTTGTTGATATTTCTTCCGGCAATCTTAATTCCGGCTTGGGTTTCTTCCAGTCCAGCCTTCCGCATGATGTATTCTGCATATAAGTTAAATAAGCTGGGGGACAATATACAGCCTTGCCGTACTCCTTTCCCAATTTTGAACCAATCAGTTGTTCCATGACCAGTTCTAACTGTTGCTTCCTGTCCCACATATAGGTTTCTCAGGAGACAGATAAAGTGGTCAGGCACTCCCATTTCTTTAAGAACTTGCCATAGTCTGCTGTGGTCCACACAGTCAAAGGCTTTCGCATAGTCAATGAAGCAGAAGTAGATATTTTTCTGGAACTCTCTGGCTTTCTCCATAATCCAGCGCAAGTTAGCAATTTGGTCTCGAGTTCCTCTGCCTCTTCGGAATCCAGCTTGTACTTCTGGGAGTTCTCGGTCCACATACTGCTGAAGCCTACCTTGCAGGATTTTGAGCATAACCTTGCTAGCGTGCGAAATGAGTGCAATTGTACGGTAGTTGGAGCATTCTTTGGCACTGCCTTTCTTTGGGATTGGGATGTAGACTGATCTTTTCCAATCCTCTGGCCACTGTTGAGTTTTCCAAACTTGCTGGCATATTGAATGTAGCACCTTAACAGCATCATCTTTCAAGATTTTAAATAGTTCAACTGGAATGCCATCACCTCCACTGGCCTTGTTGTTAGCCAGGCTTTCTAAGGCCCACTTGACTTCACTCTCCAGGATGTCTGGCTCAAGGTCAGCAACTACATTGTCTGCATTGTCCGGGATATCCAAATCTTTCCGATATAATTCCTCTGTGTATTCTTGCCACCTCGTCTTGACGTCTTCTGCTTCTGTTAGGTCCCTCCCATTTTTGTCTTTTATCATGTTCATCTTTGCGCAAAATGTTCCTCTAATATGTCCAATTTTCCTGAACAGATCTCTGGTCTTTCCTTTTCTGTTATCTTCCTCTATTTCTTTGCATTGTTCATTTAAGAAGGCCCTCTTGTCTCTCCTTGCTATTCTTTGGAAGTCTGAATTCAAGTTTCTGTAACTTTCCCTATCTCCCTTGCATTTTGCTTCCCTTCTCCTCTCTGCTATTTCTAAGGCCTCGTTGGACAGCCACTTTACTTTCTTGCATTTCCTTTTCTTTGGGATGGTTTTCGTTGCTGCCTCCTGGACAATGTTACGAGCCTCTATCCAAAGTTCTTCAGGCACTCTGTCCACCAAATCTAGTTCCTTAAATCTGTTCTTTACTTCCACTGTGTATTCATAAGGGATTTGGTTTAGATTATACCTGAGTGGCCCAGTGGTTTTTCCTAATCTCTTCAGTCTAAGCTTGAATTTTGCTATGAGAAGCTGATGATCAGAACCGCAGTCAGCTCCAGGTCTTGTTTTTGCTGACTGTATAGAGCTTCTCCATCTTTGGCTGCAGAGAATATAATCAATCTGATTTCGATATTGCCCATCTGGTGATTTCCATGTATAGAGTCGCCTCTTGTGTTGTTGGAAAAGAGTGTTTGTGATGACCAGCTTATTCTCTTGACAAAACTCTATTAGCCTTTGTCCTGCTTCGTTCTGAACTCCAAGGCCAAACTTCCCTGTTGTTCCTTTTATCTCTTGGCTCCCTACTTTAGCATTCCAGTCCCCTAGAATGAGAAGAACATCTTTCTTTGGTGTCAGTTCTAGAAGGTGTTGTAAATCTTCATAGAATTGTTCAATTTCAGTCTCCTCAGCAATGCTGGTTGGTGCATAAACTTGGATTATTGTGATGTTGAATGGTCTGCCTTGGATTCGTATTGACATCATTCTATCATTTTTGAGATTGTATCCCATTACAGCTTTTCCCACTCTTTTGTTGACTATGAGGGCTACTCCATTCCTTCTACGGGATTCTTGCCCACAGTAGTAGATATGATAATCATCTGAGCTGAATTCGCCCATTCCTGTCCATTTTAGTTCACTGATGCCCAGGATGTCGATGTTTATTCTTGCCATCTCCTGTTCGACCACCTCCAGCTTCCCAATGTTCATAGATCTTACATTCCAGGTTCCTATGCAGTATTCTTCTTTGCAGCATTGGATTTTCCTTCCACTTCCAGGCACGTCCACAGGTGAGCATCCTTTCGGCTTTGGCCCAACCACTTCATTAGCTCTGGAGCTACTTGTACTTGTCCTCCACTCGTCCTCAGTAGCATGTTGGACGCCTTCCAACCTGAGGGGCCCATCTTCCATTAGCCTTTTGTTTCTGATCATGGGGCGTTCTTGGCAAAGATACTGGAGTGGCTTGCCATTTCCTACTCCAGGTGGATTGCGTTTAGTCGGAACTCTCCACTATGTCCTGTCCGTCTTGGGTGTCCCTGCACGGCATAGCCCATAGTTTCTCTGAGTTACTCAAGCCCCTTCACCACGACAAGGCAGCTTTAGGTAGGGCAACTGAATTAAACAAGATACTTGTTTTCTGAGATTGATTGATTGATAACATTTCTACCCTGCCTTTCTCTTTAAGAAGGAACCAGGGCAGCTTATCTCGATCAAAGACAATATTCAAAACTAAAAACAATAAGTACAAATACTAAAAAGGATCAAACAGATACCACAGCAAAAGATGGTAGACAGAATCAACATCAAAACATATTCAAAGCAGCAAGGCACAAGAATCTGCTTAAGAACCCTGCTCAGGAAGCCAGTAATTAAGGGCAAGCTTGCTTGAAGGGAAAGGTCTTCACCTGCTTGTGGAAGGACAGCTAAACTGGGGCCAGGCTGGCCTTCTATGGGAAGGAGTTCCAAAGTCTGGGAGCAGTGACGGAGAAAGCCCTGTTTCACTACCAAATGTACCTGTGAAGGTGGTGGGGCAAAAAGAAAGGTCTCTCCTGATGATCTTAACACTTGGGCAGGCTATAAAGGGAGACACAGTCCTTGAGATAGCTTGGACCCAAACTGTTTAAGGCTTTATAGGTCAAGATCAGTACTTTGAACTGTGCCCAGAAATGTATCTAAAGCCACTGGAGCTGCTGTAATAGGGGTAGTATGTCATCCCTTTGACCAACTCCAGTTAGCAATCTGGCTGCCATGTATTGGAGATTTCCAGACATGGTGTTGAACTAGGGGTCAGAAGACCTGAGTTCCAATCCCTGCCTGGCCATAGAAACTCAGAAGAGGATGGCAATAGTAAACTTACTGAACTTCTTACATAACTCAAAAATCCTATTGGAATCACCATAAGTTGGAATTTCCTTGACGGTACATTAAAGACAACAGCATTTCTTTCCCTGGCCTACTTATAGGCTTTGGTTTAATCCAGCAGGGTTTTTTTTTTTTTTGTATGTTACTATGTCTTATCTTGAACTGTACTATATAAGTCAACCATATGCTATGAGAAGTACCTAACTTTTGTGAGTCCTGGATTGTTTTCAAATCAAATTCACTGGGTGACATTAAATTCTAGCAATATGAGAGGGCATGGATTCATAATTTTATTAACAGCCATGATATTTACTCTTCTATTTTCTTAACTGAATTACCTCAGTGTTAAAGACACCAGAGCTTGGAAAAGATACTGTTTTTTGGATTTACAGGGTCCAGAACCCCACAAGCAATGGTGTAGTTTAGAAAACTTGTAGTTTAGAAAGTTGTACTTGTAGTCTAAAAAAGGTACCGTAACTTTCAGAAGCCATGGGCAATATGTTCTGTGCAATTAAGTCAGAACTGACTTATAACAACCCTGATAGACCTTTCAAAATATGTGGGATATTTAACAACTGGTTTTACCAGTTACACACCTTCAGTGAATTTCCATGACTGAGATTCAAACCCTCTTTTCCAGAGTTGTAGTCTGTCACTTTATCCTCTACACCAGTGGTTCTTAACCTTGGGTAACCCAGGTATTCTTGGACTGCAAATCCCAGAAGCCCCAACCAGCATAGCTGGTGGTGAAGGCTTCTGGGAATTGCAGTCCAAGAACACCTGGGTTACCCAAGGTTAAGAACCACTGCACTACACCACTGGTTCTTAACCTTGGGTTACTCAGGAGTTTTGGACTGCAACTCCCAGAAGCCTTCAGCACCAACTGTGCTGGCTGGGGTTTCTGGGAGTTGCAGTTCAAAAACATCCGAGTAACAAAGGTTAAGAACCACTGCACTACACCACACTGGACAATACAAGTAGAGGTTTATTCTAAATATTTCTGTTAGTATAAATATTATCCTGTAGTGATCTTCTGATAAAGGTGAAGCAGAATATAGTGATCCAAAGATACCATAAATCAATAAATGTCAGAATCTGGCAGAGGTGTACACTTCAATGAAGCCACGCTATCCTTATTCTTCTGATATGTGCTGATTAGTTTCAGATCAGGATCTTTAATGCCTTTTCCTTATGTAAGATTAATTTGAATCTCTTCCTTTTAGGGAGAAACATCTGTTGAAAGCAGCACCACAGAGCCCACGTGGAATGAACAAATTAGCTTCATTGAAATGTTTCCTCCTCTTATGAGAAAAATTAAAATCCAGATTTTGGATGATGCAAACATAGGTGATGTAGCGCTCGCCACACACTTCATTGATCTGCTGCAAATATCTGACTCTGGGAGAAATGGTAGGTCCCCTACAGAATGTCACACTTTAATGTCTAATCCAATGGTTTTAACTTTAAAAAAAATGGCTGAAATCCTGTTTGTGCTGCCACACCACATAATGGCTGATGATTTTGATTGTGCAGTGATTTTTCAGAAATGAAAAACTTCAATTCCCCCCTCAAAGGTCCTGAACCTCCCACTTAATCCATTTCATTGTGGGGAAGCTGTTGGGGTCCATGGGATGGGCAGAGGGTTTCAATTTGCAATAATCACCACCACCAAGATGACTTTATAGGTCACAGCAATTTTCAGCGATTAGAAGGTTCCCCATTGTGCATCCCCAAACATCCCCACATTGAAAAGGATTTCATTGGAGCCTTAGGACTTTTAGGGAGAGGGGAAATGAAAATGTTTCAGTTCTGAAAAATTGCCACAGTTGATAATGTCATCAGCCATATGCAGTGGACTAGCAGGATAGTGGCTTGCTTGCTTGCTTGCTCTCCACTGTTTTGAAGAGCTACAATTGCACAAGGAAGTATACAAAACAGCTTCAAATAGAAAGGTATTCACTGCTCATCTAAACACTTTCACAAAATAGGCTTGTGCATATTAGTAGGAAGTTCCATAGCAATGGGTTCATTACCAAGAAGGTTCTGTCTCACCTGCATACCAACATAGTAAATCTTAATGCAGATACCTGTCAAGGACTGCTTCTAATATATGGGTGGGATCCTCCAAATAGCTGTTGTGATATTGTTAAATTATTCATTTTATCTTTAATTTGGCATTATGAGCTGCCATGAGAATTTATTTTGTGGATAAAAATGTATATTCCTATAATAAATAAATATAAATATTAATTTCTCTGCATTAGGACAAGGGAACTAGTTGTCTAGATGTGTGTGTTATGTGTGTACGTCATAACACACAGCTATGAGACATCTGCTTGTACAGAGTGGCACCTGCTTGTCCATAGGCATTCACTGTGGATGGTTTAAAAATGAAATTGAGTCCATACAAGATAGAGGCACTGTTGGTTAAAGCAATCAGGGATAGAGTGTCACTTGGTTGTGAATGTGTTTGCACTTCCCATCAAAGAGCAATTTTGTAGCTTGGCAGTTCTCATGGACACACTTTTTTATTAGATCCCCAGGCATTAGCTGTGTTCAGGAGTGCTTTTGCTGAAATATTGCAGTGAAATGCTGCAGTTATATGAGGCCCCCGCTTTATTCTGTCAGCTGCACCTGAGGTTTTTTTTTACTGCTGTTCTGTGTGGTTTATCCCATCTTGTAGGTGTAGGTTATCCCTTTTGAAGCTCCAAAGAGTTTGAGTCTTAGTGACATCAATAACTATTTCCCTGCCCTTCAAACCTAACTATTTTTAAAGATCAGCTGCTGCTCCCCTTGTGGACAGAAGAACTTGGCAGTTTTTCTGGACTGAAGGACAATTGGTGTCAATATGGGTTGCCTTGATGATAGCACACCATATGTAAAATCTCCTTTTCCAAGAGAGAAGGAACATCTTCGTCTTTTCTCTGTCTTCTGGTAGCATACGGGGACATTTCTCTTTAAGCAAACGTACGACTCTGCTGCTTCTTAATTTAATAAATAGACTGTTGGTTTTCATTCATTGTGTTTTTGTCTTTGTTGCATTTTCTAGTTTATTGTGAAAATGTTTGAGTAGTTGTTTTTGTTTCTTGTATTTTGCAGTCCTGGTTGAAAGGCTTTTTTTTTTTTTAAAGAAATGAAATGGGTTGTATACATTTCTTTGAAAAAATGTTGATTTGAATGTAGTTGCTGCATGTATTTGTAGAGATATCACCAAGTAACTCTGGCCTATTTGTGATGGCAGAGGAATATAATATTCCAAGGTTGGAAATGTTAGTTCTTGGACCACAAAACTTAGCATCCCTCACCCAGCATGGGAACTGACCATGCTGGCTGGGAGGTTCTGGTTTTATGGCTCAAAAAATTAACTTTTATAGGCTATAGTAATAGTGTGGCTTAACAGAATGCCCAGAAAATGACAAATGTGTTCTTTGCCTCAGGGTATAATCCCACTTTTGGACCAACTTGGGTGAATTTATATGGCTCCCCTCGGAATTCAGCCTTGCGCGATGTTCACAAAGATCTCAATGAAGGTCTGGGAGAAGGCATATTCTATCGTGGGCGCCTTCTCATGGCCATTAGCGTAGAACTTTACAGCACCATCCAAGCAGCTGAAAAAAAGCCTACTGAGGTTCTCAAAGGTGCCCTGAGCAAGCTCAAGATAAAGCGGAAGAGTAAAAAGGCAAAAGATAAATCCAAAGGCTCTTTCAGAGAGCACGAGCAAAGTCAAGCTGAGGCTGGCATGCCTGACGAGGCTGAACAGCCAAGTGAGGTAATTGTGGAGGTAGAAGAGCTTCATCCTCTTCCAGAAGTGAGTATCATTTTTAAGACAATTATGATATATCGTTTTAATGCCACAAAAAACATGACTACGTAGAATGACTCAATGCCAAAATACCAGTGCTGAAGGTCAGTTAGAAGAATTTCCAGTGCATATGGATGTCAATAGAGGACTTGCAAATGGAGTTTTGCTTGCCATTTCTGCCACAGGATTTCCTACTGCTGAAAAGATAGTTCTGGCTTGCTCCTTCAGTGATAGTGACAAACTGCTGCAAGAAAGCCATATGTATAGCTATATGAATGCATGTGTGCACATACACATATATACCCAAGCGATTTTCATAGATACGTATGGATTTGAATAAAGGTCTTTCCAATTCTTGCCTGACATTCTGACTTCCACACAAATCTGCCATCATCTAAAATACAGATAGACCAGTCAGTTTCTGCCAGATGTGTTGAAGCCACCTCTTTCTGTGGTAATACAGAATGCTGCTAGCTTTTATATTAAGCGTGAGTTGTGCTTCCAGTTCAACAGCTGCCTTCTTCAACAGAGATTTTGGGGACCATATTCTATCTGTTTGGGGCCAAATGTAGAGTGTTTGGGGCCAGACATAATTATTACTGATTTCAAACCTAATCAGAAGTCAGCAGGACAATAATCTGCATAATTCCTTGGCATGATGCAATCACTTGGCAGCATTTTCAAATAGCATCCCACATACTAAGCTATGTAACAAGCTTACTCCAAATGTTAGAGAACTAGATCAAGTTGTGAGACTGTTCTCACAAAATGCTTGCCCTTCCCACAGGATGATATGTCTGCCACATTGTCCAAGTGGAGGTATTCAGATATTAGGACAATCACATAAATACCCCCACAGATAACATGCCTGAATTGACTTGATGGCACAGGATGATCATTATTAGAACTTAGTGAATCTATGCTTCCTTCTTGTTCAGAATGCCCTGGGTGTGAAAGAAGAATTTCTTCTCTTTGCCTCCTTCTTTGAGGTGACTATGATGGACCCATCAATAGGTACCAAGCCTGTGAAGTTTGAAATTTCTATAGGTAAATATGGCATATGTTTTGTTCACTTTAACATAATGTTAGGGGCAAAGTATTTGACAAAGACTTAGGCTGATTGATTAGTCTCATTCCTAAGAGAATTCACAGCTGAGTGAAAGACTGTGGTCTGTTCCATAGACAGAAATGGAAAGTTTTACTCTTGTAGTTGATGTAGAAGAAATCAAAAGCATTTTAAAAATCACTGTTGCTTATAGTTACAAAGTTCTAATCAAGCCTGGCTGTTCCAAAGTGGCCCACGCTAGATCACTCTCTGCTGCTAATGTAGCCATACCCTATATTTATTAAATAGCCACAATAACCAAATGACTAACCTCATTCAACTTCAAGGAAACTATGGAAAAGCTGAAGAAATTATTGCCAAAGTTTCCAAAAAAGGTGAGAAGGGAGAGAAGAGTGAAGAGAAACAGCCTTTGCTGGAACCCAGTTCAGATGATGAACTGGATGTTGAAGTCATACCTCCAAGTACAACTTTGCTTGATAAGTCTATGACTGAAAACCAAAGGCCTGAACCTACAGAATATGACAGGTGATTACTCTTAATTTCACTCTTATCCTATTAATGTCAAATTCATTCATGTGTTCTTCATTTACCCTGGTTTATTGTTTATTCATTTACCCATATAAGCAGTTAAAAGCATGCATTTAAAAGGAAAGCAATGCATTCTTTAGTTTAATGTCCTTTCCTATATCTATAGAATATATAAATGTTTGTCCAATTTGTACATATGTCTTAAACACTCATCAGGAAGAATTAGACTTCTCCTATAGTTGGTTGTTTTTTAAATTGGTGGTATAACTAGACCTCTGAGCTTGTATAGAAAATAATGTGTGTCTGGGAAGGATATAGTACGTGTGGTGCTTTGGAGAGAAATACATTAAATCATCTTAATTAATATACATAAGGTCTTAAGTGCGGAAATCAAATCCAAAAATTCCATGGAGGAAAACATCTTTGTTGAAAATTATACCTTTGAATAATGTCAGAGAAAGTGGAAGTGAAGCAAAGGAAAATTTTTGGGATTTCTTGATATATCAGCACAACCTAGCAACATAGAATTTTGTGACTTTGTAGTACAACTTGTAAATCTTCTCTGCCTTCTGCTCTTAGTGCTTACAGCTGTCTGCCCATGCTGCATGAGAAGCCTTGTGTGTATATTTGGAGTTACTGGGAAGATTATACCTGGAGACTCTATAATTCCAACTGGATTGTCAAAATAGCAGAGCGTTTGGTAAAGTACTGCTGTTCCTATGATGACTGTGCTAAGCCTTGAGAGTTGTGTTACCAAATGTATCTTCTTTAGAACATGCATTGTTATTTGTTCAAACCAAGAGCCTGATTAGAATAAGGAATTTTTTCTCTTATCTTTGCAAAAAACCTGACACAACTGATCCTTATATGTGGCCTAATCATTTAGAGTATTATTTCTGCATCTTTGAAAGCCTATCATCCAGAAAATATGAATAATGCATTTGTTACTAATTTTTAAAGCAGACTTTACATTTTCTCTTCTGTCTTCTATATATAAATACCTGTTGTTTACAAACTTACCCACTCCTCAGATAGATGATTATGTAGATTAGAACCCAGTTATCCTTCATTTTTTAAATGCATTTTTAGGATAAAATATGTATAGAATTGCATATTTTGAGAGAAATAATATATTAAAAATATATGTTTACATACATACATACATACATACATACATACATACATACATACATACATACATACATACATACATACATACATACATACATACATACATACAAAATATTTTATGTAAAAATTGCACACATTAATTCAGACATGGACCATCTATACGTAGATTTTAACTCAAACAGAACTGATATGGACAAGAAATAAATCTATTATCTCCAATCTTAATTTCAGAGCTTGGAAATTATCGTTTTGTATTGATTTTGGACTATAACTCCCAAAGTCCTGCAACCTGTATGGCCATATGGCCAGTGCTAGTGGGAGGATACTAGGAATTGTAATAGAAAGTGACTGTTGAAGTGCAGTTTTATGTTCCTTTTTGTAGTTATGCATTATATTTTTACCTTTGTAAATATATCTACAGTATAATAACTGAACAAATAAATGCTTAAAGAACAGAATAAAATGCTAGTTGCTATTGGCAACTGAGACTGATTTCAAAAATGTTTTTGTTACAACAGGAACATGGACTAGAAGATGTGGAGAAGCTCTTGAGGAGACCAAGATCAAAAGCAGATGAAAGGCTTCAGCAGGTTCTGGAAGAGTTTGTAGCTGGATGCAGGTTAGTGCATCTCTGCTCTGCTTTTCATCAACCATATCCTGACTCATGTTGCCTTTTCAGCTCCTTCTGTCTCAGCTACACATGTTGAAAAAAGCCATCTTGAATTATAGTGCTGAATAATACATTGTCAAATTCTTGAAAGAGGTTGTACCTGAATAGAGATGCTGTAACTGAGATCTAGCTATACTTACAGTGGAACCTGAAAACATGGCTGATAGAAAAGGGATACTGTACAGAAATGCTACATTTCCTTATTCATCGTATTTGTAAACCCTCTTTCTTCTAAGGATGTTAGTGAGATAGACATAGGAGTGATTCTGATTTTTATCATCACTTCTTTGTGAGCTATTAAGGGTATATAAACTGCCCACAGAGCTTCAGAATCACTCAGGGATTTGAATGTAAAGTCTCAGGGCTCCCAACACTCCAAACACTGGGGGTCCCATAAAAATTGGTATGCCAAAGGGACACATGGGAAAGATTGTTGAATATTATACCAAAATTGCTAGACAGTCATATATGTAGCTTCTTTTCTTCATAGCATGATAGAATAATGGATTTGGAAAGGGCCTATAGGGCTATCAAGTCCAACCCCTTGCTCAATGCAGGAATCCAAACTAAAGTAGACTTTACAGATAGTTGTATAATTTTCTCTTGAATGACCCCAGCATTGGAGCACTCAGCACCTTCTGAGGTGTTTGGTTCCAACCCAGTTCCTTTCTGTTTTTATTTTTTGTTTCTATGTTTCCTAGATTTTACAAAGTATTTTGGAAACATAAGAAGTGAGTACATTGAATAAAGCAGGGTTGGGTAACCTGTGGCCCTCCAGATGTTGGACTTTATCTGCCATAATCTCTGACCACTTCCCACCCTCACTGAGCTTGTGGAGACTGAAGCCCAATCACAGGTTCCTCACCCTGCTGTTGAACAAGTTGTCCCATATCTGGATTAATAAGAGTGACTAGAACAAGCCATGAAATTACTGGGTATCTCTTCCAAAAAAAGGACAAAATATCCATATCAAAATCCATATCAAAATATGCTTGACAGTATGTGGTGAAATGAAAATTCAGAGATCAGGGAATGCAGAATACTGCTGTACAAAAGATGATTCTTCTTCTTCTTCTAGTTGTAAACTCCCAGGGATTTGGCAACTCTCTGTGCTTGTAATTTCACAATTTCCTCCTTCTTCATGTGGTATTTCATAGTGCTCTTGTCATATGTTGTGTTATTGATTTTTGCCCATATTTTACTCCTTGAAATATGTGAATTCCATCATGGGCTCAGAACTGACATCTTCTTTCTTTGTAGGCAGTATTCTCTTAATGCGGACAAAAAAACAATGACCCGTCCAAATAATCTTGATCGATGCCGGATGAAATCTCTCCCACAAAACCTTGTGAGTGATATGGTTAGGCTGTGTAATTGTTCTATATTGCTGGAAAACCTGTATCAAATTTTCAGATGTAGACAGGAATTCTCAGTATTTTATCAAAAATTCTAATCCCTATCTAGCTTTATGTAAATAATATGTCCATAGCATTGTCAGGTTCATTGGGTTTTTGACGTTTTCTCAGAATTTTGAAGGCTATTGGGTCTAGATGAAGCAAGTTACTTTTTGGACTACAATTCCCAGAATTTATTAACCATCAAGGTATTATGAAATTTGTAGTCCAAAAGAAACTATTCCCAAGTTCGAAGTTTAGATAGGCAATTGGTATCCCATTAATGGAGAAATTAACCATTGATGGAAACATTCTTCCCCACAGCTGCTACTTGTTGATAAGACGCTCACAAGGAATGAATGCTAATACATCAAGGGAAGAAACTCAGGAGCTGAGGCAGTGGCACACTAGTTGCAAGCACACCCTTGAAAACCTATATTCTACTCTTATTCTACATATTGTCAGAGGACGCATAAAAATTCCAAGTGAAAATGAGGAAGAATTGTCTCTTAATTTTACTGTGACAGTTTTCAGAGATGTATCCATGCTGGTTTGTCCCAGCTTGTCACTTGCTTGCTTTATCTTTCCTCTCTGTTCGCTGTGACCCTTACTTTCTAGGAATCGCCTCCCCTACCATCTTGTCATTTTTGCCTTATTTTTCATAGTCATATTCATGCTTTTTTAATTCTCTCCTAAACTAGTCTCCCCTTCTCCAGCTCCTGAACTCAAATTTACTCTGGCAAATTTCCAAAAGTATAGCCATTCTTCTCATATTTGACTACATGAATCCTCAACAATCAGTGTGACTCCGTATTGCCAAAAATTACTGATGCTTTTCTATGATAGGAAATTTGCTCAGGAGGGAATAAGGAAAGTGGAGGTGTACCTTGGAGCGGCAGGGTGGGGGTGAGAAAACAATCCTGGCTTGGTATGATTAAATATGTGATTAGAAAAAGATGTGCTTTTTTCTGTGTCTGTGTTTAGATTCGATATGCAAAGCAGGGGCTCCGCATAAGAAGGCGACTAAATCGCACAAATGTCAAGGAGAAAGTAAATGAGACGAGGACAATCCTGTCAAAGCTGCGTTTTTTGGCTAAAGAGGTATATAGTATGATTCTAGGTATGGGGCAGCATGAGCATAGTTGGGTCATTGTGATACAGTAAAGCTTGGATTGGGTGGCTTCAACTTGTAAGAGAAAGATTGCACGACAGTACATGGAGTTTTGTAGCTCCAGCACAGGTGGCTTTGGACTCCATCTCCCATCAGCCCCAGCTAGCATGGCCAAGTAGCATGGCCAAGAGGAAATGGAACAACTCTAAAGAGCCACAGATTTCCCAACATTGTTTCTTCTTCATGGTCACCGTGAATTACACATACAGATTTATTCAGCATGTATGTATGGAAGTCTCAGAACATTCTAGCAAACCTTATTCTCACTGCTGCCTACTGTGTCCCCAGAACTGACTTTCCTTTTCTTTCATTATCTTTAAACCTAGATAATTACTTTTTTAATCCTCTTAATCATCCAGCCTCCTTACAATCTATAAAAGCAACACCTGCACAATACATGTTCTTGTTATTTTCTGAAAATTAGAATTTGGATTATAGTTTTCTCCAGAGATTTTTTTTTTACTATAGAACATTGGAGTCAAACTAGAAAATGTGTATTCCCCACATTAGCCTGTTATTTTTTTTCACCCACAACTTAGTTTCTTCAGAGGCAAGTATCTGAACAGTGCAAATTGTACCCTTGTTTACCCTTCCATGACCAATTGCGTAACACGGTTCATTGGAATGCAAGATATGAAGATGAGGGGAAACACACACATTTACAAACAGAAAACTTCCACCACTTAAAGTAGTAAAGGTTTAAGTCATGTGCTAATTATCTAGTGTGACCCTCAGAATCCCACATTTTGGGAGTCATAACCATTGGTTTCCTCTCATTGGTTCCAGCCCCAGTGTACTATCCCCGATGTCCTGATTTGGCTGTTCAGCAACAACAAACGTTTAGCATATGCGAGGATCCCTGCCCAGAATATCCTGTACGCAGTAGTAGAAGAAGAGAAAGGCAAAGACTGTGGCAAGATACAAACGGTCTTTCTTAAGGTAAGATTTTTCTTATTACTTTTAATTCTCTAGTATTTAAAGCTAAAGGGAGATGGATGGAGTATTAATTAATGCATATGACCAGCACTAAGAATCGATTTCAAGCCTTTACAGAACAGCAGCTGTTGTTTTCAGCATCTTCTGGGGGGGAAATTATTTTGGGCTCCAGGTTCCAGGATCACGCACTGAAGAGATCTTTGCAAAATTGGAAATTTATATGTGGTTTGGGGTCATGAAATATGTGAAGAACAGCACTGCAGAATTACCAGAGGAGTTCAAACCAGTTTACGATCAGATGCAACAGAGTATGAGGATTCCAACATACCTTCCACCCACCCAGCTTAACAGAGATGGTGAGTTTAATGATCTGAAACTGTCAGAAATGATGTAATAACTAATGACACAATATTTTGTTTCCATTCTGATTGGCTCTTACATGTTTGTTTGTTTTTAAATTCTCAATGCAGTGGTTTTTATGTTTATTAAGCTAAAATATGTATGCTTTATTCTTAAATTTTCAATTACCTCTTTTTTCAGTTATGTTTTATAGTTCAGTGAGTTAGGCAACTAGATGCAGATGTTGCAATTTCAATTCCCCACTGTATATCCTAAGAGAAGACCTAGCCTCCATAACCTTGGGCAAGCAAGAGACACCGTCCCAAAGGGACTGATAAACCAGGTCTGAATACTTTAGACCAGTGGTCCCCAACCTTGGGCCTCCAGATGTTCTTGGACTTCAACTCCCAGAAATCCTGGCCAGCAGGGGTGGTGGTGAAGGTTTCTGGGAGTTGTAGTCCAAGAACATCTGGAGGCCCAAGGTTGGGGACCACTGCTTTAGACCTAGAAAACACTTGAAACAGTAGCCATAAGTCAGAATTATGGCACATGATGATGATGATGATGATGTTTCATTACATTACACTTGTTTCCTTTCTTGTTGTTGTTGAAATAAAAGATACCATAACCGCAAACCTGCACTGGAAAGTGCTAATGTCTCTTATTCTATACATGAATACCTCTAATACCACTTGCACATTCAGTCTTCACTCACCTCAGTCTTCTGCCCTGCTGCTTCATGACCAGACCTCATACCAACTCAGAGTGGTTTAGAATTCCCATTCATGATAAAGAAAATAAGCAGTACATATATTCCCAAGCAAATATTTCCAAAGTGCCTGGAAGTGTTAGGAAGATATGGAGCATTAATGTGACTGTTTATGTGCATACATAGGAGACCATAGCAGTCCAGACAAGATTCTTGGCCATAAATTCGATCAGCATAAGCATTTGCTGTTGTGTGCTAAATCTCAATAGCAATACTTGCACTAACCTCTTAACCTGTAGTAAATTGTCAACAACATTTATGCCAGTTGTGTTATTTCAACATTAAAACTCATTAGAATTGTGACTATCTGGTCTTCATAAATTCAATAATCTCTAAGGCAGCACAACACTCTGGGCAGAATCCTGCTACAGGCACTCCTCACTTAACAACCGAGTTCCATTCTTACCACTAGGTCATTAAGCAAACTGCTCAATAAGCCAGGAGCAATAATAATGTATAAAGTTGTAATAAATCATGTGCCATTGAGAAGGGGCCTGGCGAAGAAGCAAGCAGGGATGTCCAAGGGTTGTAAAGAATGGTCATTAAACAGGTAGGTTGTTAATTATGGAGTGCCTGTAGTGATTTATGTGGGTGTAAATTAAACTGTATATCATGTGGCTACTTGACATTAACTGTTGAAGCACTGGTCATGTTGCAAGACACACAACCAGTTGTTCAACAGGCATGCACCTGGAAATGGGACTGGTGCCTCTTTAGTTAGTAGCAATTCACCACAGAGAGCTACACAACTTAATGTATGCAGTAAACCATCAACAGGATTCTGACCTACTATTTTTCCTCAAGAAATAAACTACAGCAGGGATCACCTATCTAGAATTTGTTGAATGGAGTCATCTATAGCCATTTAAACCTCTAATGACAGATATTAATGTGCTGCTCTTACTGCTGCTTTTGTATTGGTGATAGGAGACTGTATTATCTGATTTGTGTGCATTATCAAATGTAATTACACATTTTAATAAATTTTCCATGCCGTATCACTCACGTATATGTATCACTCATTATGCTGTTGATCTGAAAAGTTGATGGCTGTGTCATGTTTTTCAGACTTTAGTTACTTCCAGCTGCGAGCCCATTTGTACCAAGCTCGAGGGATTCTCCCAGCTGATGAAAATGGCCTTTCAGATCCATTTGCAAGAGTGGTATTTTCAACACAGTGTCAGACTACAAGTGTAAGTATATCTGCAACAGAGTCATTAGCCAAGTTTGTTATCCTTTCTTGCTGTGATTTGAAAAGATGACTGACGCTACCTGTTAGAACTATTACTTTTCCATTACTTTTCTGGGGACAAAACCCTTAACTTAAAAATGAGAACATGGACTAAAATTTGAAAAGAACCAAGCCATTACCACAAAAAGTAACATACTACTAGCAACACTGTTACTTGTAACACTTAGCTTCCAAATTATGACCCTGATTTACAGAGGACAGTCTTCTATATAAGGACATTTTCTATTTGAAGCCTTGTCCATTCGAAGTTTATTTTAAAGATTCTTAACCTCAGGGTCACCATAGCCCCCTGCAAATACCATCCTGCTGCTACTGGGAATCTTTGCTGTTTGATTGGCCTCTTGTTATATCGTTCTTACTTTCCTTCTTTCTGCTCTGGGTTGTAATACACAACGAAAAGGCCTTCACACTGCATTGAAACAGCAGTGTTCATTGCTGCTGTGGCTACTTCAGCAGTGTGGTACAAATATCAACATATATACACTTTAAAGGGTACCAAAGTGTGAAAGCTTGCAGGAGCAGAAAATCTTAGTTGTCTGCCTAAATGAGGAAAAGTTTGCACACATGGTAGTTTCTGAACAGTCCTATTGTTTAGAAACTACCATGAAGAAGGCCAATTTCAAGTCCGCCTGCCATGCCTTTGGTAATGAAGAGACACAGATAAAGGTCTTCAGTTGTGACCAACAGTTGGTCGTGTTCTTATGGGAAAAGAAGGTCTTTAAGGCATCTTTCCAAGTGTGCAAACTTTTCCTTTGTGCTTCAAAAATGGCCAGTGACCTCAGGTGACCGTGAATGTAAAATTTGAAAGGTTTAAGGGGAAAGAGCTTCTTAACCCTTTCCTCTCTGCCAGGAATTCACTACCCATTCCAACTTCCTTTTTCACTCAACAAAGGAAAACATACAGGTATTTGTATAATTTTTTTCATTGGAAGGGAGAGTGCAATTTTAGCAGGAAAAAGGAAAAAGAGATAAAGTATTATCCCTGTTGTTTAAATATGCAGTTATCTCTCCTGTCTGTCTTTTGTCCAGAGATGGAGAGTCAAGGCCCCATCTGTGTTCCTGTTTTGCTGTGTGTATGTATGAATGCTTACCTTCCTGCATGTGTTTGTGTGTATATTCCCTCATAGGTTCTGCTTGTCACCCTTAGCCCTGTCCAGTTGTCCATTTGCTATGACACCTGCCCCACCAGTCAAAAAAGGCACCAGCCGCCACTGCCCAAGACTATTTTTGTTTGTTAAAAAAGGTTGGAGGAAAGATGAATATGTGCTTGCATTGAATCAGCTTTCCTAAAAGTAACTGTTTAAAATATCTGTGTTGAATATCAATAGGCTTTATCTTTATTAATTCAGGTTTTAGAAGAGACACTAAGCCCTATGTGGAATGAGTTACTTATATATGACCAGCTCATTATTGATGGAAAGAAAGAAGACTTGAAGACAGAGACCCCAATTGCTGTTGTTAATATCTTTGATCACAACAAATTTGTAAGTTGGATCATATAAGTAACATTCGTTTGGCTACAATTTTCTCTTTGCGAGGAAATCACTCTTCAGGGAGTGGAACACACAGAGTATAGCCCCATTTTCCTACTTTAAACATTTCTAAATTATTGGGAAGCCACCAGCAGGTTTAAGGAATTGCATGGATTGTATAGTCTCAGGCCTGATACCAGGTTTGTGAAGGTCTTCTAGGCAAGATACCCTCCAACTCTCATCTCAGAAGACTTCCTACAAGGATATAAGACGGCAGGAGTAAGGGTGCTGATGTACCCAGCCCCACTTTTCCATTCCTTTAAGACCAGAACTGATATGAGGTGCAAGAGCACCAGGCTGAGAAGCAGCTACAGCTGATCTTCCCTTTACCCTCAGCTCACCTCTTCTGTTCCCTCTACTTTCTTTTCCATCTGAACCTCACAACCAATGCAGCATCCTCCTGTGGAGCTATAGTGAGAGAAGGATAAGACTGCTACAGTAGTGATCTAGCCAGTTGCTGCTTATGAGGTATTTTGCAAAAAAATATTTTAAAGTTGGGCCCAATGCTGAATGAAGCAGCACTGATACAACTTCATTAGCCCCAGATGACTCTTAGACCCCAGCCCTGAAGCAGGATCAGAGAAGGACGCTACTCAGCAACATTTGCAGAAAAAGAGAGGGTAGTTGAAGCTGCTGCTGCCACTTAGCCCAGCTCCCTTAACTGTTGAAAGCTATCTTTTTGTACAAGTGCAGCTTTTCTCATCTTCCAAATCTTGCAAATCTGCTTGCTTGGCTTTGTGTCTGGTTACCAGGAGGTAAACATATTTTTTTCTTGCAAGTCTGATTGCACAGACACAAAGATCATCTGGAGGAATAACATACTACCAGGTTCTAGATATGAAACTGGCATTGTGTTTAATTTGGAAGCAGAGCAGGCCATGGGATTTAAGCACTGGAAAAGCTAAAGCTTTGAGAAATCTGCTGAATCAAACCAACAGCCCACATACTCCAGCTATCCAGACATCAACCAGATATCTCTGGAAAGCTTACAACAAAGACATAAGCCTTCATCTGCTCTTGTTCCCAAGTATCTGGCATTCAGAGGCTTGCTCAGTGCATAGTGCAAATATTAATAATGGTTGAGAACATTCTCCTCCATAAGACGTGTTAGACAGAGCTCATATGAATGAGTGGTCAGCAAAAAGTGTGAAAGACCCTAGGCAGGATTGCAAGATGCTAAAGGTGAAGGTAAGGGACCCCATGCTTGTGGAGACAGATCTAGGCTCTGACATCTTGCTAGAATCCTAAAATAAAGTTTCTCCTTCTGTGCAGGGCTCTCCAGAGTTCCTTGGTCGAGCCTTTGCTACACCACTGGTGAAGCTGGTAGATGAACCATACAGTCAACCATCTCTCCAGTTTTTTGACATTTATAAGGGACATAAAGCAGCTGGTGAATTAATTGCTGTCTTTGAGCTGATTGAATTGGATTATAGTGGCTACCTAGAGGTAAGTAAACTCTTTGTCATGGCATGGTTGGAAGGAGGAGCTTGCTAACTTGAACAGGTTGGGAATAATCCTAATGACCATGGGGTGGAATACACAATAGATAATGTATATTCTTATTAACATATTTATTGTAACACATGAACCTCCTTCCATCATGGTCTCCCACCAGACATTTCTGTTTTAGAGTGGATTCTGTAGCACTACTGGAAAGATTGTTTATGGAAATCTGTGATCAAGGCATACATTGAGCTGGGACTCAACTTTGGAATCTACATACAGTATAACAAGCATTTAACCACTTATAACGGTAGCCATTTGCATTTTGACTGCACGGGAAGAATTTCTGAATAAGATGGTGTAAATTCTAGATGTACAAAACTAAACATCTTTCATTTTAGAAAGTCAGGATTATTTAAAATGATGGCTGGTGAACAGACTGTAATTGTGTTTGGATGATCATATCTTAACTGAATAACTCTATATAATGAACAAGTATATTTTCCACACATGTAGCATCTTCACTAATCCTGTCACTTGAGCTGGTAAACAAACCAGGAAACATTGAATTAACTGTAGTCTCTTATTTCATGTGGACCAGGAAACTATGACTGACAGATTTAGAACATTTAGGACAGAGAAGAGACAGGAGGGTGGTTTTGTTTATTTTTGCTCTTTTCCACTTAAAGGGAAAGAAGACTGGTCTAGATCATGCTAAACAGGGTTGCTTGGTGTGGTGTGATCAATCCATGCATATGGATGCAAGGATGGCACCAAATGACATATCACACTTTAAAGTGACCCTCTTTGGTATGGTCTAGATTGATCCAAGAAAGCCAGGTTAACTGGGCCATCTAGTCACACATAATAATCTGGATTTTCCATGAGGTGGCATTTACACTTGGTTATGAAAAAGATTTATGATAACTATTGTACAGTCTAATTATTGTCTGCTTTCCAGCCCTCAGTGCCTAGTGATGTAGAACCCAAGGAGCCAGAATATCTGGGAGACCCCCGTTCTGGACGATTCATTATTCCTGATGGAATCCGGCCAATCCTTAAGGAATTTCGCATAGAGGTACTGTATATTTTAGTAAAAAATTAGTTAATGTAAAATTTTCCTATGTAATATATAGAGCTCAGTAGGTGGAGGACCCAGCTTGGGAAGTTAAGGGTGGAGTGTTTGAATCCCCCTTGTGTCTCCCAGGAGACAAGCCTTGCACAGTCCTAGAATGCCACGAGAGGAGAGCTTAGTAAACCACTTCTGAGTACTTTATACCTAGAAAACCTTGGGAAGGTCAGTGTAAGGCAGAATCAACAAGATGACATGTAATTGTTATTAAGAATTATTTAGCTTTTCAAGTGGACTAGTGAGAGGATATGCATTCTTTGTATTTGGCATTAATTGTTGAAGTCAATATACTTGTGCAGAAATAATGGTAAGAGGATTGTAGGACTGAGTGATATTTGCATATCAGTCTGATCATAGTCTTGTACTAGAGTGTGTTTGTTAGAAATATAGAAACTGATATTAAAATGTTACAAAGGCATGAATTAGCTTGGCTATTCTGAAACATTTTGTAGTTCTTGAATTTCGTCCATGTTATTTTCTATTTTTTGGTATCCTGGAAAAATGGGGGCATACTGGGTTGTGAAGAACCACTCTGAAGAGAAGGTGTTAGGTCTGGAAACAAATGTATGATCTCTGACTGAAATTCTATTGCTTAGCGTAGTATTAAAGTAGGCCCATTAAACCAATGGGACTTACAAACGAATTGCCTCACCAAATCCCCATTGATTCAATGGGCCTATTCCAGCGTGGCTTACTATGTGAAGCTCTGATCGATGGCAGTTGCATCATGGGGTTCCTCAGGGCTCTATACTGTCCCCCATGCTGTTCAATATCTACATGAAACCGCTGGAGGAGGTCGTTAGGAGGTTTGGGCTGAGGAGTCAGCAATATGCTGACAACACCGAGCTCTACCTCTCATTCTCTACCAATCCAGGTGTGGCAGTCACCGTTCTGAACTTGTGCCTGGACTTGATAATGGTCTGGATGAGGGTCAATAAACTGAGGCTCAATCCAGACAAGTCTGAAGTGCTGCTGGTAGGTGCCCCGCCAGATAGGTTAAGGGGCCATTTCCCTGCCTTAGACGGGATTACACTCCCCCTAAAGGACAGAATCTGCAGCTTGGGGGTGCTCCTTTACCCCAGTCTGACCTTGGAAGCCCAGGTGGATTCGGTGTCCAGGGGTGCCTTCTTACAGCTGAGGAGAATATATCAACTTTGCCCTTACCTGGATGAGCGGAGCCTGGCAGCAGTCACTCATGCACTGGTAACAACCAGACTGGACTACTGCAATGCGCTATACATGCGGCAGCCTTTGAAGACAGTCCAACAGCTGCAACTGGCACAGAACCGGGCTGCACGGCTGGGAAGTGGTGCCGCCGCACGGACTCATATCACGCCGGTTCTGAAAAATTTGCACTGGCTGCCGGTTGCTGCTTGGGCCCAACTCAAAGTGCTTACTTTGACATATAAAGCCCTAAACGGCTTAGGAACTGGTTACATAAAGGACCGCCTTCTTCCATATGAGCCTGCCTGTCCTCTAAGATCAGGCCAGGAGGCCCTTCTGAAGGTGCCATCCCTGAAAGAGGTGAGGGGGATGGCATGTCGAAATAGGGCCTTCTTGGCTGTTGCCCCCCAACTTTGGAATGCCCTCCCTATAGAGATCCGCCTGGCTCCAACACTCTTGGCTTTTCGGCACCAGGCAAGGACCTTTCTGTTTAGCCAGCATTTTAATTAAACAGTATTCCCTAGCTGGCCACATGAGGAGCAGAACTTATTAATTTTAATGTTTTAAGAATTATTTTAATATATGATATTTTATATTGTCTTTTAAAATGGTTTTAATGTTTTTAAGTTTTAATGTTGTACGCCGCCCAGAAGCCACTGGTAATGGTGCGGCTAAAAAATATTGTAAATAAATAAATAAATAAACAAAACTTCAGCATTTGAATGGTAGACTAATTTGTTGATTAAATAATTTGTTAGGAAGACAAATTTAAATTATTCCTCTAAGTCTGATCCATTTGCACATTCCAGATTAATTATTTTGGTTAAGTATGGCCCAGAGAACAGGGACATGTAACTGGATACCGATTAATTCAGATGAGACAATTGGCTTGCCTTCAGTATGATGCAGTAATGGTTGAGAATGGGAATATGAAGAAAGAGAATGTTAGGCGCTATTCTGATTACCCACAAGTGTGTTGACTCTTTGCTTTCTGTCTCTTAGATATTGTTTTGGGGTCTGAGAGATCTGAAACGTGTTAACTTGTTTGAGGTTGACGAGCCACAAGTGGTAATAGAATGCGCTGGGAAGAAAGTAGAATCTGAAGTGGTTACATCATATAAAGAGAACCCAAATTTCAATGAACTTGTCAAATTCATTAATGTGGTGAGTAGGTTAAATCGGTTCTAAATCAACATCTGAAGTCATTAATGGATTGGATGAGGGTGAATAAACTGCAGCTTAATCCAGCCAAGACAGAAGTGCTCCTACTCAGTTGAAGGGTGGTCCTGATCAGTGGAAGGGCAGATCAAGGAATAGAGTTTCAAACTCTTTTGGATGAGATAAACTCTCCCTGAAAACATGTATTCACAGTTTTGGATTCCTTCTGGATTCATACCTGAACTTGAATGTTCAGGTCTTAGGAATGACCAGAAGTGCATTTGTACAGTTAAAACTACTGCTCCAGCTGCACCCATTGCTGGAGATGTCTGACCTGGCCAGAGTGATGCATGCCTTAGTTACACCCTGTTTGGATTACTGTGATGCGTTCTACATGGAGATGCCTTTGGAAAGTGTTCGGAAAAATAAGCAGATCCAAAATGCTGCAGATTTACTATTAACTGGTGCTGGTTACAGGGATCACAATAACTCCCTTGTTATAATAACTCCACTAGCTGTCAGTCTGTTTCTGGGCACAATTCAGAGCACTGGCTTTGACTTATAAAGCCCTATATAACTTAGGTCCAAGCTTCTTGAAATATCACATTTTCCTTTATGAGCCAGCCCAGGTTTTTAAAACACCAGGGGAAGCCTGTCCTTTCTGTCCTGCCACCCACACAGGTTTCTTTGGTGAGGACACAAGAGAGGGCTTTCTCTGTCACTGTTCCCAAGCTGTGGAATTCTCTTCCATAGGAGGCTAGGCTGCCTGCCTCTTTGTTGTCCCTCTGCAGGCAAGGTTTTTTGTCTTCAGACAGGTTTTTTCTCAGTGACTTCCTGCCTAAAAGTTAAACTGTTTTCCCCCCTTTCTTTTGTTTTCTTTTGATTTGTTTCCCATTCGCGTGCCAGTTTATATATTTTTTTATATTTTATGACAGACAGACAGATAGACAGATAGGAGTTGGGAAGAAGATTCTTACACCTGGGATAACTTTCCTGTATCTATGTATTGGAACAGAATGAAACCAGACAAGATTTGGGCAGCAAATATTGGCACTTCCTAGATTTGTATCTTATTTGGTTCTCCTACATTGCTATCTTATATAGTCTCTACACAGGCGCATTTTGGTTAAATTATGTTCCCATCGGTTGATGACTTTTGAAATATTCATATACTTGACTATCAGAGTAAATGGAATTGCTATGTATTTGTTGCTGAAGGATTAGGAAAGTGATGTAGAGCAGGTATATGCATTTATACAGTACATATTCTACTTGTAGAAGATGCATTGATAAAAACCGGCTTCCTGTGAAACCTCATTTGTTATTAAACCAGCTCAGCTCTAAGGCAATACAGTACAGTACTTTTCTGTAATCTGCTTGCTGACACTCAGTTGTCTCCCACAGGAACTTCCAGAGCAAGTGTACTTACACCCACCTCTCAGTATCTTTGTGGTGGAGAAGAGAGCCTTCGGACGTTCTGTCATGGTGGGAACTCATATAGTTTCTCATATTATGAAATTTGCTCCTAAAGAATTAGATGACCTAGAGGAGGAAACAGACAGCCCACCCAAGAGTAAGTGTTTATAATGCATTTCTAGGGTACCTTCCTATAAAGTGGGATAATATGATTTTCAAGATAGGTCATTATAAATTGGGATTTATTTAGCTCTTGCATAATAGAGTTATAACTCCAAAAGATTAACTTTTCCAACTCTGTCCACTCAATGGTAAAATCAGTGGATTTCTAGGAACACGTTTTGTCCTAGCTGTTTGTTGTTGAAAACAAAGAAATTAACAATATATACAGCACATTTCTGGAACTTCGAGGCACAGCTCTTCAAGTTACAAAATTTCAGGTTATAATGTCATCAGTGCCTCATTTCTAGATATAATTCTGTGTGCATTTTTTCAACTAAATATCATTCTAGGAGGCTAAAATGTTGCTAGAAGTTTTAATGTCTTACACATTTGTACGGCGAACTATATCCCTTCCATACCAAAAACATGCTGTGTGCGTAGATAAACTGTATAATATGAAGTGATTTTAAGGTGGGTAAAAGTGACAATCTACTTACATTTCACATCCATTCTCTTTTTTGGAGTAATTTAAAGGAATGTTCCAGGTGAGAAACAAAACTGGATAACAATGTGGAAATGATACAACAAATAAAGGCATTATATTTCTTTTATTGATATGTACAACTTCTTTTTAGTGCGAAAAGCCTCAGCCCGACCTAACATCTCCAAAACAGTGATGAATCTTGGTGCCACTGCAGGGAAGACAGTCGTAAACATTGGTGCAGCTGCCGGTCAGACGGTAATAAATATCGGTGCAGTTGCCGGAGACGTAGGTAGCAAAGTAAATCCCCTCAAGCTTGTAAAGGTTAGTGTGGCAAAAATGTCAGTTTTCACTATTTACTAGATCCTACTGTCATATGAATATTGTGGCTAATGGGAAACAGCCTCATTGATGCACATCAGAGAAACATCTTTTTCACAAGCCTGAATTACAGAAAAATCTTAGCATGCTTTATATGGGAGGGGATATTACTGGGTGACGAAAAAGGAAACAGAATTGTGGGTGTAAAGAGCAGGAGTGTAAATATGAATGGCTGAGAATGGCCATTGTGCCTTGCAGGAATCAGTTTCCTCCTGTTGCCCTGGTAGTAAACTTAAGGATAAGTACCAATTGTTACATTTATAGTCTACCAATCCTCCAAGGAACAGTTGGTGACGTACATGGTTCTTTTCCCTTTTTAATCCTAACAGCAGTGCCATGTTGTAGATTAAGGTGAGAGTTAGTAAATTTAAAATATGAAAAAAATAAAAGACGCTGTGAAGCAACCAACTCTGGTGAGCTTCAACATGTCTATGTCAGCAGAGGTGCTTGTGCTGGTCATGAATGTCACTGCCTCTCTCACCAGCTGCTGTCTGGATAATTATTTGGTGTTTCCTTAGATTCTGAGTCTGGATTTCAGCCATCTTCCCAACAGCTGGCATCAGTATTTAGCTAGACCACATAGTTGCATCCTTGGTCCTGTCTTCTCATGTCTGCACATACTTTGATGGGTTAAACTCTTTTTCCATTTACACTCGGCAAAGATATACCGACTCATCTTCTAATACAGGTTAAAACAAATCACTTGCTGAGAGTAATTTTGAGCTCCAAAAGTCCTGAAGGAGAAGGGACTTAGGCACCCTGTCTTCATACAACCTTTCTGAATACCAAAGGACAACCTTGATGATGTGCTGAGCAGGTTTTTAGGAGATGAGCTCCCCAAAGTGGTGAAAGATGTCTATTTGTCACAGCATAGAATTTTCCTCACATGACTTGCATTTAGTTTGCTTTATTTTGTAAATTAGTCAGCAGGTGGTAAGCACAGGCTTAATTTGTAAGTTTGCTGAGAAATGCATCTCTTAGGAAATTCTATGGTGAGAAACAATATGTTAATAATTTGTAAGGAATATGCATGGCTCTTAATATCTAATTCACCTTCAGAAACCTCTGAAGAAAATTCCTGTTGATGAACTCATCCCAAAAGAAGAGGTATTTGAGGAGGAAAAACCTGAGAAAGAAGAACTAGATTGGTGGTCCAAGTACTATGAATCATTAAAGGAGTTAAATAACCAGGTAGTGTATGGTACTTCACCATAATAAATGTCATGGTATTGTAATAAGAGTTCTGGTTGAGTTGAACCCAGTCCCTTTCAGCCCACAGTCCCTTCTAGCCCAGCCATTTTATGGTGGTAAGGTTAAGTTTTGGACAAGTTGGGGTTGGCAACCTTGGTGGGTCAAGTAGATAATGTCCCTCCAAGGATCCACTTCAGGCCATCCCATCCTGTTTGCCATTGTGTGGCTAGATTTCAGCATTAAATCTTAAACACTCCTAAAGTAAATAGCAACAACATTTTCTGTTATAAGAGGCTTTATGCAGTATCTGTTTGAAATTCACTGTTTTGGAGGGTGGGCAAGGAGGCCACAAAAATGGTCTTGGAAAGCCACATGTTGTCCCAGGGCCATGTGTGGCCCACCTTGGTATAAATATTCAAATCTGCCAAATTGGTAAGGTTTTGGCAGATAAAAATAGTATCCATAAGTATGCATTTTACTTAGTTAAAGAGATTTCCCTGGCTTCATTCCTCTAAAAACCAGGGTACAGAAACTGCCTGCAGCTGTGGGTAGGGGTGCTCTGGGGATGAATTGGTTGACTCTAGCAATCAGGTTGTCTGATTGCCAGAAAAAAAGAGTGAACCAACTGGCCCCACAGTGCACCAAAAAACGGGGCAAATGCCCATCTGATTGAGCCCTCAGATGTCATAAAAGGCCTACCATACCTCATTTCAAAGACATTAAAATCCTAGATGATGCGTGTAGCCCTGCAATTCTCATTACTTGCAGACCTTGGTCTTAGGGCATAGCAATACTGTATTTAGAATCCAAAATATAGGGCTGAGATGTGAAGCTAATGGCTGCGATAGAGAACAATGAAGGACAGAATAGCCAAAAGAAGCCTTTGCAGTTAAGAGAATGCAACATCTGCATTTATATTGGAGTATGAGATGGGACAGGTAACCAAGCAAAAGTAGAAAATCATATTGTGCAAAGTATGGTGGCAGGGGATTCCAGTTTTTGTTTTCTATCTGTTCTTGTTCTAAGACAAAGGTGGGCAACTTGACACCTTCCAGATGTTGTTGAACTGCCCCATTTGTTCTACTTAATACTGTATAGCAAATGGTGGGGGATAATAGGAGGGAGTCTAGTATAATCTAACATAGGCATTGAAAACAAAATACAAAATATTTTTAAAATCTTTAAATATTGAAGATTGAAGGGAGAGTAAGAGAATGTTGGTATGTTGTTTCTTTGTAACATCTCAATATATCATCAATGTTTTCTGCTTGTGGAAAGTATGTTTGGTACTGTTCTGCAAAATATATCTACTGATGATGATGGAGGATTTGCTAAGATAGTACAATAATGGAAACTGATTGGCGTCTGTCATAGTTTGATTGATGGTCATTCTCTTTTACAGTCCTTTAGTGATGATGAAGAGGAGGACCCTAATGATCCAGGTGATTTTTTTTTTCATACTTTGATAACAAAATCTTTCCAGATCTAGAACCTATCCTTTATAACAGTGGTTCCTAACCTTAAGTAACTTAGGTGTTCTTAGACTGCAGTTCCCAGAAGCCTTCACTACCAGCTGTGCTGGCTGGGGCTTCTGAGAGTTGCAGTCCAAAAACACTTGGTTACTCAAATTTGGGAAACACTGGTTTATAGGCTAAGTTTCCTTTGTAGGAGATAAACCAATGGTGCTTTTATAATTGTCTGTTGGTGAATGTGCAAAATGAACATTACTATAAGCAGGCGTTCAGCCAGTGTTTGTCACCATGGCACTAGTTCAGTCTCTCTAAATCACTTCTTTCTTCAGAGAACTTATAGCAACCTTGTCAGAATAAAACCAAACGATTCCTTCTTTCAGAAGTGATTGGGCACAGAGGGCTGGTTCATGTATCAACATTATGCATACAGAAAACTCCAGCTGCCTGCAGTGTCCCATACTTCTGCCTGTCTATATACAGTAGATGCATGCAGCAGAAACATTTCCTTCCAAACTATCATTGTCTGATGTTCCCTTCCTGGTAAGGAGATAGATGATGCAGCCCACTCACTATCACTTGCGTTAAGGTGGTTTTTTTTTAACAATGAAGAACAAACTCAAACACACCTTAACTCAAGTGATAGTGAGTGGGCTGCATCATCTATCTCCTTACCAGGAACATCAGACAATAATAGTTTAGAAGGAAATGTTTCTCCTGTATGCCTCTACTGTATATAGACAGGCAGAAGAACAAAAACAAAATGAAAAGAGTTATGTTAGGACACCTTGAAAGCAAACAAATGTATATCGGTGTGAGCCTTTATAGATTATAATCCACTTCTTCAGACACATGGAGTTCAGAGTTCAGTGCCTAAGCCATAGTATTCATGGTGTGGGCAGGTACAAAACATGTAGGCCAGATATTGTCCTCTAAGTGACTGAAACAGTGAATTGTAATCAACAAAAGCTAGCACTGAAATAAATTTGGTAGCCTTAAAGGTGCCACGGCATTTTTGTTTTTGTGTTAGCATTGATTTTGTTGCTGCTGAAACAGAGTGACACGTCTTTCCTTCTGAAAACTTTATTTTTGTTGACAGCAGAGGACACTGACTGGGTTCATTTCCTTCCTTGTTCTCTCTAGCACTGACTGCTCCTCACCACCACCACTCCTACCTATGAATGACAACAGACAATGCCAGAGAGAACAGAAGTGGCCATTCAGTTTTATTGGTAGCTGATAGTCAGAAGAGAGTGATATTTTGATGATCTAAACATCAAGAATTCAATTTCCTATTATCTTATTTTATCTTTAGAAGGAGGGAACCTAAATGTTGCTTCTCTTGATGTGGATGTGGATGCAGATGATGTGATAGTTGAAGCTGAGCCAGTTCACCCTAAAAGGAAGCTTATAGCTACTTTAAAGGTATGTCATTAGGACACAAGAGCTGGCTTTATTGATTTCAGTGCAAACAGAGTTGCCATATCTCAATCCCACAGTTTCAGTATTATGTAAATCACTTGCTGGTGGTCATACACAAATGATTTTTGTAATTTCTAGAAGTTTAAATAGTGCTGCCAGTGATTAGTTACAAGCTCTGTTTGGAATGTGTTTAAGGTCACTATGGCCACTAGACCTGAGGCTACAACTATACTGCAGGAAAAATGCAAAGTGATCTGCTGTGAGTTCATGCCAAGGGAATCGGCTTTCCCTGGGTGGAATTGCTTTACCAAATCTTACAGGAATCAGCAGAGAGAGAGAGCGAGGAGGAAATTGCCATTCAGCCCTTTCTAGCAGCTTGTCAAGGCAGCTCTGCTGCAGCTGTCCAGATTTGCAGGAGAGCACAGTTACAGTATAGCTACATTAACAAGCTGCAAACAAGGGCTGGCTGCTGATTTCCTCCTTGGTCTTTTCCCCCCTGCCTCCTAGGTGACTTGGAGACAAGGGGTGCTTGTTTGAGAGGAACTGGCAACCATGAGTGCCCCTTTACTTCCTCTTTCCCCATCTTGACGGAGGCTGTGAGAACCAGCTCCTGCTCACTCATTCTGCATCAAGTGATCAGACCAGCTGAACTGATGTGAATGTATTTGACTGAGAAAAAAGTAGAAGCCCTAGTGGCAGAGGAAAAATGTACAGATCAAGGGGAAAAACTCTCAGTTGATTTGCATTAACTTGTACATCATGACAGCAATGGAAAATGATGCAGTTCTAACCATCCCAATCCTGGAGCATTCCCGGCATTATTTGTCAATGGAGTGCCCCCCAACTTGCTTAAAATAGGTACCTTATTTCTGCAAATACTCACACAGCTGCTGTATACTTCGCTCTATTGGAAGGAATGTTCTAGCTGATGTAGCATGAGTTATAGATACCACAATCACAAGCCCGAAAATGATAGGACAGTGAAGTATAGCTTGGAACTCAGCCTGCAGGCTCTTTGGTTGGTGCTAGCAGCTCCCAGCAGGTAAAGGGAGAGAAAACTGTTTTTCTGCTCTTTTATGTTTCCCTGTTCCTGCCAATGTATTTGGAAAGAGGTGCCTCTGTGTGCCTTTTACCTAACCCTGATCAATAATCCTTGCTCCTGACTGGCAACTTGCTAAATCAGGAAATCCAACACATTAGATTTGTGCATTTCTGCCAACTGCTTTATGTTCTGACATATACCACAACATAACATATACCATAACCTGCTGGGGATGGAGCAGTACATATTTGACCATGTGCTCATACAAACAAAGAATGTTCTCTCTTATTAGGATCACAGCTTCAGTGTTCCTGATATTCTGTTATGCATATATCTCTAAAGATCTAGAATCACAGAACAATAATGAATGAGTTGGAAGGGGCTTATAAGGCCATCGGGTCCAAATCCCCTGCTCAGTGCAGGAATACAAATCAAAGCAGATCTGATAGATGGCTGTCCAATATTCTCATGAACGCTTCCAGTGTTGGAGCGCTCACCACCTCCAAAGGTATTTGAGCATGGTAGTATGAGCATGGTGAAGCATGCCAGAGAGTCAGGGAAGTGGCTGACTGCCAGTTGTTTCATATTGTGTGTCGCCCTGGTGTGGCAAAATGTAGGTGACTCTCTTCTGCTTTTCCAAAGCAGCAGAATCTTGCTGCACCACAAATTTGATGAGGGGACAAGAATAGATTTATAATATAGTTGCTGAACTGAGGTGGATTGATAAAGGATCATTGCTATACAGTAAATAAGAACTAGTGACTTCTTATCATAATCAATATATCATAAGCAAGGAATAAAACATTCTTTGTGTTTGACTTCTTGCTGCCACGATTTGTTAATGTGTAATGTCTGATAGGGTCATTTGTAAAATTGTGAAGTCTTCTTTTTAATAGAGCTTTTCATATTCACAGTTTCAGATGATGATGATTAAAAACACCAGGCACAGTCAAAATTATAAAAACATTGACTGGTATTATATAACAGATACAAGTTTTAACCAAAAACCTAAGTATTTGTTAAATATTGGCTAAGTATGTATGCTGTTCCTATTATTGCCGTTTTTTGTAATTTTGGTGGTGTGATTTCTGAGATCTGCATGTGCTTATAGTACTGTGTGAAATGTCTTGATATTGTTTCCAAAGCCCCAATGACTACGGGGAACTCTGATGATGATGATGATTTGGTTGTTGTTGTTTAGTCGTTAAGTTGTGTTTGACTCTTCATGACCCCATGGACCAGAGCACGCCAGGCAGGGCCGGACCAAAAATCGGCCCTGGCATTTAGAGCACACAGGCCCACCGGCTGTGGGGACACAGGCCCACCTGTTGTGGGCTCCATTCACGATATTGTGGCACGCTGAAAGGGCGTTGCTGGTATAGTGGTATTGGTACATGCTTATGAGTTCTCCCTATCCTAATCATTGCCCTGGTTGTAAAAATAACAAGGAGCATCAGGAAATCTAAACCTATAAAATCATCACGTTTAACAAAAAGTGTAATTAAAATTTAATGTTTAAATTTGTCAATGCTAGTGCTCTCTAAACAAAAAACACCAACAGTACAATGTGAGATCTTATAGCTATTTTAATGTATTGAAACATTAGATCATTAAACATAACTGCAACAAAACGTTCAATGTGAACAAG